GCAGGTACCAGAGTATTTAAAAGAGAAGCCCTCGTACGAGTTTCTATGAAGACCTTCTCATTCAAGAAGATCTTAATAGAAAATCGTACGAGGGCATTGGAAACTCGCGTCTGGTACATGTTGGTACCAGAGTGTTTGAGATTTGAAGACTCTGGTACTAACATGTACCAGAATTTATGATGAATTTAAGATGGACCATTATAAAATGGTAGCGGTTTGTTTCAAAAAATTTAGATGAGATTTGCATAGATATAGATTATATGATTTATACATATGAAAAATAATATATAAAAATATAATTTTGAGATAATTATGTAAATAATATTTTAAATATTTGAATTTGAGGTATAATTTTATAGTAAAATATATTATAAAGAGTATTTATATAAATATTGTAAAATAATATAAGTAATAAAAATTGAGACCCCCTCCCTGTTTTTGATGTTTTGTCACTTTTTTGGTAATTCTTATTGTTTCATAAATAAAAACATTTAATCAAAGTCAATTTTATTTTTCATATTCAAATGGACTGAGTGTTAACATTTAACATTTTTTGCGAGATTGGGACAAAGTTGCAATTCGGCACTTTTTGTAAAAAATGGGGTCATACTCATAATGAATAGAGACTTATAGCCAAGTCTTGATATCATGCAGGGAGAATATACATTGATAAGCAATTATATTTTATAGTAGTAGTATTCAGAAATTCTTACAATTTACAATACAATTTTCAAAAATGGATAAAGACTAATAGCCAAGTCTTGATATCATGCAGGGAGAATATACATAGATAAGCAATTATATTTTATAGTAGTAGTATTCAGAAATTCTTACAATTTACAATACAATTTTCAAAAATGGATAAAGACTAATAGCCAAGTCTTGATATCATGCAGGGAGAATATACATGATAAGCAATTATATTTTATAGTAGTAGTATTCAGAAATTCTTACAATTTACAATACAATTTTCAAAAATGGATAAAGACTAATAGCCAAGTCTTGATATCATGCAGGGAGAATATACATAGATAAGCAATTATATTTTATAGTAGTAGTATTCAGAAATTCTTACAATTTACAATACAATTTTCAAAAATGGATAAAGACTAATAGCCAAGTCTTGATATCATGCAGGGAGACTCTCTACAAATACAAAAATTGATTATCATAAGGAAATACAAATTTATCAATTTTCATGTGAAAATTACATAAATTTGTTCTCCAATAAATAGCAATAATACTTTGAATGTTATATTAAGTAATATAGCTTCAGGTAAATAAGCTTACACTTCAAAAATATACTGTTTATTCATTAATTTTAAAAAAAGTCCAAATTATCTAATCTTGCTTACTCTTCCTTTAAACTTCTTTGTGCCAAATTTAATATTGCCTTCAAAGATGGAATAAGGACATTAGGTTCAATCCTTCGGCTTTCGACAATTTCCAAAATGTGTTGAATTAATTTCAAACATTCATCGTGTTTTGAAGCTCTTTGCTCAACAATCTGATTACCTGCCCTTGTAAGAATTCTTACTGCTCTTTCTTCATTCAAAACATTAGCGACTTGAACCTTAATAATCGCATTTGGAATCACAACAGTGATGAGAGTTATGACGATGTCATCAATGCGCTCATTTTTCTTACCCAAGAAAAATGTTTGCTTTAATTGATGAAAGTGTGATTCCGCAATGTTATTCGTGGAATCACCTTCTCCACGATATAACATCATCCAATGTTCTTTGGTTCTTCTCCATTGTTTATCGAAATACTTCAAAGCGCGCGGTTCTTCTTCTTCTAACATTGTTGTCAAGAACTCATATGTTTCATCAGACTCTTCAGCCAGCTTTTCTGCATTCGTTGCATCTGCACGTAATGTCAAAAAGTCCATTGCTAAATAGAAGTTCTCAAAATTCTGTGGATTGTCAAAATAGCTTCCAACTTTTGCACATGCGCGTAAAACATGCACAGCGCACCAACTGAGCTGCGCAAGAGGAAATCCGTCCTCAATTGCGCGAGCAATGTTTAGCGCACAGTCAGCGCTCCAATGCTGTGGATCCAGGTGCGCAAACTCACAGAATTTCACCAAACATTCTTGAATTTTTTCAGATGTCTGAGGGTTCACTAAAAAATAGCAAAAGGGGAAAATTGTGTTTTGACTTGTTTTCATTGTTACTGCAAACAATTGGATCTTTCCTTTAATTAAAGAATGAGTGGAATCGACGTGGAGAGGGTTATCAATGCTATGCACCAATTCTTTTGCAGCAAAAGGTGCATATATGATTGTAAACTCGGAAAAATCTCCATTGTAATCAAATTGAACGAGATCATCTGGGCACTCTTCCTGTAAATTATTCAAAAATGCTTCCAAAGAAGTGTAAGGATCGTTTGATAATCTTTGTGCAATAATCTCATCAAGGCGATAAAATTTGTGCTTTAAAGCATCAGTAGACTGCGCGAAAAGTTTCATCGTTTCTTTGTTATTCGTATCAATTCCGAACTTATCAAAAAATGCTTTTTGAGCAAGAAATTGCTTTCCACCGTTTTTAATATAAAGTTCGATCCATTTTTGATAAAATTTACTCGCGTAATGTGAACCCATTTCAACTCCTATATGATGGCAATGTTCTTCATTAACTTTGCTTATAGTAAACACTCCATTTTGTTCTTCAACCCTAAATTTTGCCTTGCATAGGGGATACGAACATGAATAAGTGACATATTGCTTTGGAGATCCCGTTCTTCTTCTGTATGGGACACCGCCCTTGACTTCCTGTTTAATACCAAAAGCAATAAGCTCCTCTAAGTCCACCGAAATCATAAAAATGAAGTGATTTTGAAAAGAGTTAACAAAATTCAAATCACATCAAAAACAAAAACGAGAGAGGGTCAAAGTTGCTATTTGTCACTTTTCCACAAGAATATAATGGGGAAAAAGTTATCATATAGTTGATCTCATTCACTGAGGTGAGAGATGCATGTAGTGTAATTTGATAAACAGTGGGATTGCTGCTCTAAGTCCTAGGTTCGAGACCCATTGGCTTCATTTTTCTCTTTTTTATTGACGTAAACTATTCAATTTTTGTGTTCTCCATTCAAATTTCAGAATTTTTTTTGCAGATTTCACGCTACATTCGAAGTTACCTTTTGTAACAACCACCACTGCCTACGAAAGACGAAAGTGTGTCACGATTTCACCCGGAAATCCGACGGTTGTTTAAGAGTAAGCACTTTTGGCACCTACTCAAACAAAAACACATAAAAAATATTTTATTATACTCATTCGAAATTAAAAATAATAAAATTTATATATATTAATTTCATTAAATCAAGGTTAAAAATCTCACCGGAAAAATAACCTCAGTGTGATAAATTTATCACCGGAAAAATTTACAATAAGGTTAATACCGAAAATATTGAAAAATCAACATTTAAGGTTAATTTAAGAGTATGCACTTTTGTCACCTACTCCATTTTTTGCTAATTGTCGTCAAAAATTAGGCGTAAAGCAAAAATTGATATTTCATATGGTTTTATGATAGATAAGCATTATATTCCCACTCATTATATTCGTAAATTTTGAGGTTTATCCTTCGCTTTTCAGATCATTGAATTTGATTTGGGGCGGCGACAAATTTGCCCAGCCAGTAAAGTATTCAATTTTTTTTGCATTTTTTTTAAAGCTTCTTAACTTAAATCATGGAATGTCTCAAAGACAAAAGTAGCATACAGCATGCAAAGCTAAAGAAAGATAATCATAATTAATACCTTAATTTTTAATATTACGCATTTTTAGGTGCAAAATTTAAAAACATTCTAATACAATAGAGCAGTTTCCAAAAGTAGCATACAGCATGTAAAGCTAAAGAAAGATAATCATAATTAATACCTTAATTTTTAATATTACGCATTTTTAGGTGCAAAATTTAAAAACATTCTAATACAATAGAGCAGTTTCCAAAAGTAGCATACAGCATGCAAAGCTAAAGAAAGATAATCATAATTAATACCTTTAAAGTTTAAAATCTTGATTTTTTTTAAAATCAAATATTTATAACTTTAATACATACAGCTTAAACCTTATACTTGTTTTCTCTTGTGAGAAAGCAATCTTACAAAGCTAACAATCCTAAAAAATAAAGAATTAAAATTTCATACAATCTTTTTTCGAATCTGTTCTTTTCTTAAGCCACTCGCTTCGCTCGCATCTTAGTTTCGTAATTTCATACAATCTTTTTTCGAATCTGTTCTTTTCTTAAGCCGCGAGCGAAGCGAGTGGCTTAGTTTCGTAATTTCATACAATCTTTTTTCGAATTTGTTCTTTTTGTCAACCGCGAGCGAAGCGAGTGGCTTTTTATTTTTTTTAAATTTTTTTTTTCTTTCTTACTTTTTTTTCCCTTACTTACAAATTTGATAGTAACTTACCAAATCTCTCTACCATATAATAATAAATTAATCCATTTTTTGTTTCAAATCTGACACTTTACATTTCTGACATGTAAACCTGTCACTTTTCACTTCACCTCACTGGGCAAGTTTGTGCCCCCCTCAATTTGATTTTTATATAAAATAGTTATATATTAGAAAATAATATGAGTTTATGTGATATTATTTTTCAGAAGATTTTGTGTTCTTCTTCACAATTTTACTTTTTTATTAAAAAGAATCTTTACAAAATATACATTTACTTTAATTAATATTTAAAAACATGCTCTATCAAAAGTTCCAAAAATTCAATATTTTAGCTTTTCTGAGGTGTCACTTTTGATGAATTTCTGTTTACAACAGAATCATTCATAAATTTTATATGCGATTAAGATTTTAGATCAAAAATTTGATCTCACCATTGTCACTTTTAGAGATAGTTTAGTGGGATATTGTTTGTATGCACAGTGTATAATATTTTCTAAAAAATTCATTGTTTTTGTAAAATTTGATCGATATGTTACCTGATACTCTCAATTATTTTGAATACTTCACAAAATCATATTTTCCAAATTATGAACGCCGAAGAGTGTGTCAAGTATTGTGCTCAAGCCTGGTCAGAGGGTGGTTTTGCTCTTGAAGGCCTTAAGGGCATCATCCGTATCCCGAACCTTTCTCCAGGTTACGATGAACATTATTTCGAAAATGGCCTTGTTTACAAGGCTCTTCATTACATGGCCGATTGGATCAAGGCCCAAAACATCAAGGGTTGCAAGATCACAACATTCGAAGAACCAAAGGTAGAACCACTTCTCTTCGTTGAAATCGACTCTACAGCTGACCACGAAGTTCCAGCTGTTCTTACATACGGACATCTCGATAAGATGCCACATCTTGACCCAGCTGGCTGGTCAGAAGGCCTCGGAGCAACAAATCCAGTTGTTCGCGGCAACAAGATCTACGGACGTGGCACAAATGATGATTGCTACGAAGGCTTCCTTGTCATCACAGCCATCAAGTACCTCCAGGAACATAACATTCCACACCCAAGAATCGTAATGCTCATGGAAACAGGAGAAGAGTCCGGCGATGACGAAATCATGAGATACCTTCCAAAGCTTAAGCCACAGATTGGCGAAGTTGGCGTTATCATGGTCCTCGATGCCGAAGCCGAAGATTACAAGACACTTTGGTGCTGCAAGTCACTTCGTGGTGTTGCCATGGGCGTCCTCGAAGTCCAGCACCTTGCTACACCATGCCACTCTGGTATGGCTACAGGTCTTGTCCCAGATACCTTCCGTATCGCAAGAATGCTCGTTTCTCGTATCGAAGACGAGCAGACAGGCGAGATCAAGCTCAAGGAAGCTCACATCGATATCCCACAGTCACGTATCGACATGTGCAACGCTATTGCTAAGCAATTAGGTGCTGCATCAGTCGAAATCGTTGCTCCAATCAAGGGCGCTCAGCTCCTCGACACAGATTACGGACAATTACTTGTCAACAAGGCCTTCAAGCCAGGTCTCGCTGTCACAGGCCAATCTGGTCTTCCAATCATCTCAGAGGGCTCAAACGTCATCCGTACAACAACAGGACTCAAGCTTTCCCTCCGTCTTCCACCAGGCGCTGATGCTGAAACAGCTCTCGCCGCAATGGAGAAGGAACTTACACGCGATCCACCATACGGTGCCAAGGTTACATTCAAGTCTCTCGGCGCTGGCAACGGCTGGTTCGGAGAGGACTTCGACGCAAAGACTGCTGCTGCTCTTGAAGGAGCTTCTCAGGAAGTTTTCGGACAGAAGCCACTTTACTACGGCGAAGGTGGCTCAATTCCACTCTGCAACACACTCCAGTCACTCTGGCCAAAGGCTCAGATCATCGTTACAGGTGCTGCCGGTACAGACTCAAATCCACACGGATTCGATGAGTCTCTCAATATCGAATACACAGGAAAGTTTGCTGCTGTCATCACAGGATTCCTTGGCGAAATCAGCAAGTAAGAATTGGTATATATAATAAGGCGGTTCTATCTTCATAAATAAAAACTTTACAAATACGAGTAATTTTCTAACTAATTTACAATATTTCGAGTATGAATCATATTGAATGATTGATTTTGTAATTCTTTGTTTAGAAATTGATTTCCGAAATCTAAATTCAACATTTCATAAATATTTCCGATTAAAACAATCTCAAATGTTCATGTGTTATAGATTTATGTTGTTCTTAGTGAATCATTTCAGGTAAATAAATAATATATTAATAAAATATTCAATTTTTTAAACATACAATACAAAAATTGTTAATATTTTCCTGATTAGTGGTCGTCACCTATTACATAGGAAGCAGCAAAGTGAGATATAAGACGTAAATCTTTTGGTGGCTCATAGTTTCGTTTAAATTCTTCAATAGCAGCTGCTAATACTTCTGAACCTACAACTTTTATATTCTCTTTCAAAATTGGAGATGGATCATATTTTTGCATCAATTTCTTCAATTCTGTGACATATTCTGGATGTTTTTCAATATTATGAGATAGGTTTTTCATTATCTGCAAGGTATATTCTGAATTGAAATCATAAGAAGACCAATCAATTTTAGGAAACAGATTGTTGAATAATTTGGGATCTCTTATCGAACCAACTGCATTAATGAATTCATTTTTATCATCAATTTTGTTGAAAAATGAAGTTTGAGCCTTCTGATACTTGAAAAGAAGATCATTAACTTTAAATTTCGAATTTTGCTGTTTGAAAGCATTAGCGAACTTGTCTGAAGCATCATTTATATTGCTGACAACATCCTGTGCCTTAGTTTTAATGACAGAAGCTTCAAAAATATTGAAATGAAAATCGTCAAGAGAAAGTTTAAATACTTGAGGATCTGCTGCTGTAAATATAATTAAGCGCTTATTGTTTGATACAGGACATGTTATCTCTTCTTGATTTGAAATTTCACAGATTTTTTCTTTGCGGAAAGAAGAATAGAGTACATTAGAGCTAACATATAAAATTCCATACGGTGAAGACCAAATCTTTGAAACAGTGTTTGAAATTTCTGTTTGTTTATCATTAGTTTTTGGTTCTATGCTGTTTTTCATCAATACATTGTCATCTTGCAGAACATAGTAATCTGAATCAGCTAGAAATACATTGTTATTGCAATCTGTTAATCTATTGACTGGAAAATCTACAAAATCAACTCGTTTGTAAAACTCCTTAATTGTATCTGTTCTTGAGACCATAATATAATCATTACTCACTGAAAGATCTGTAATACTTGTTGCTAAATAGTCAAAAGATTTAATCTGTATTTTTTCTTCATCAATTATAGGTATAATGTAGCCAACTTTGCTAGATGTAGGCGAGTACCAAAAAACAACGGATTCATGTTTTGGATCTGGAAGTAATTTGATATCTTCAGGAATTGATATTTCATTATATTGTATAAGCTTACCATCCCAATTTTGATCTATTTTAGAATAGTAATATGATCCTTTCGAAGCTCCAATTATCCAATCTTGATTGAAGATTGCGAAATTTCCATCAAAATCATCACTAATATGAAAAGTTAAGTATAACTGGCTATCTATAAAGTAAATTTGCATCAGTTTCGACTTATTATCATAGAAGAAAGCAAAAAATTCTGAAATCCCTGAGGAGTTGTTTTCTTTTTGAGATAAATTGCTAGAATGATGCGTTTCAACTTCATTGTCTTCTATTTCAGCAGCAGCAAGCAATGAGCTTTTATCAAATGTTTCAATCAATGTGGAATCCAATATGAAAAGTGGTTATAAATGCACAATATTTCATCAAAACTCATGATATAAGAGTCTGCATTTACAAATTTCCAGAACAAATTCTTATTCTTTTGCATCAATTTTGATTCATGTAGAATTATCATTTTCATGATCGATCTGCTTTGATACCGAGCAAGGATACTTTACATACATTAAGTTAATAATAAATCAGTTAAAAAATAAAAATGATTTTGAAAAATAGATAGTTTACTCTATAAAATACATACAAATTAATTTCCTTCTGCAGCCAAGTGAACTTCTGCTGCTGAAAAGAAGCCGAAAGTTTCGTAAAATGTCAAAACTTGTAAAACTAAAAGAATTGGAGTCAAAATAACAAAAGGTGTGACAAAAAGAGAAAACAGTGAAGTAGCTGCAATGGAAAGGAACGTTGATCCAGACAAAGCAGCAGATGCACTCCAAACGAAAACAGTAACTGAAGATAACGATTGATCCTCAACAATAAGGAATATGGCTAGTCCAAACAGCCAATTTAAGAAAAATCCGAAGGCAAAGTATATAAGAGATAAAACTAAATCTTTGTGAAAAAGCGCCTGAGCGATAGATAATGGAGAAGAAAGCATGATATCGTAAACTACGCATACAGCAACTAATTTTAATGATAGGATATCTTTGAGTTGAAGAACATCCGAAAGGACTAAATCATGACCTCTTCTTTTAATGGCGCACATGACTATATATAGGACTGCAAGATTCAACAATGAATGGAGGATTCTGATAGGTATGCTAGAAGTAATTTGAACGAGAACGATGAAATTATTTTTTGGAACGTCTTTATCTATGCTCCATTTTGCGTAAAGAAGTGCGGAATTTCCGAGTGTTTGAAGAACCAAATATCCTAATAATAAAATTGTAAAGCTAAGCTTGTTTCTTGAGACAATTAATCCAGCGCGAGATAATTTTTGGCCGAAAGGCTTAGCAGTAGATATTCCATATCTTCCATGCTTCCAATCGGTCATATACTGTATAGATTCTGATAAAGATCCAGAGCTGATTTGATTATTCCTCTTCATTGTCACTTTTCGTCAATTTCTTGAGTTGTCACTTTTTAATATGGACGGTAATCAAGGAAGTCCTCTTCATAACGAAGAAGCAGCACAAGACGGCCAAGAACGTGCTACCGTCCCACATGGACTTGCACCAGATTACCCAGCTCCATCAAACAGACAAGTTTTGACTGAAGATGAAAGAGCAATGACTGTGAAATTCGGACCAAACTGTGCTACTGCGGAAGAATTTGCCGAACTCTTTAAAGCCGAAGGTTTTCCAGTGTTTTCTGATATCAGATTAGCTAAATTTGGAACAGTTCGTCTTCCTTCTGAAGCACAGGCTCAACAATTCATTAAGCATTTCAACGAATTTCAATTTAAAGGTGAACAGCTTTACGCTCAGCCAATGCAACCACAGCAATATGTAAAAACTCTTCATATCACTGGATTAGAAGAAAATCACATCGATGAACGCCAATTATTTAATTTATTATCTCCATCTGGATTTATTCGTAGAATTTCTTCAAAGAAAGGCTTTACTTTTGTTGAATTCGATAATATTCAAGATGCAAGACGCGCAAGAATCGAACTTAAGAATAAGGAAAACGAATTCCCTGGTCTCCGCGTTTCTTTCGCTAGATCAGAACATAAACCTGATTTTAGCAATTTAAGAATACCTTTGTCAGATATTATACCTCCAAATCATCAGTTCTGGTATAAGCTCCAGGATATGCTTTACGATCGTTAATATAAATGTTTAGATTCGATATTATATTACAAAACAAAAAAATTTGCAGTATTTTTTAATATATACCCGATTGAATATCAATATACTAGATTTCGTAATCATTTCTCATTCAAATTTTAGTTTTATAATCAAATTTGAATTTGAATTGTCAAAATAACGATAATGATATCAGAATTACCAAACACTTCGATTTATTAGAGTTTGGATACTATTTTTCTTTGTTACTTCAATATTTTTTAATATCTTGAGTCTTTTAGCATTTGTTCTTTGGCAAACTAATCACAAATGACTAAATAATAAATTTACTATCATATTATTATATTTTTGGCTAATCAACAATAAAATTTTAAAATAAACTGATTATGTTGAGATATTTTCTATATTTAACTAGTGTTAACTTTCAGAATTTTTCAATAAACTACTTTACTCTATAAAGATAACACATAATCACATAATATTTGAATATTATTTTCCTATTTTAAATGAAAATTTGTGTATTCATGCTTATAAGTTATCTATATCTGACATATCTAAATTATTAGACAATTTGGCTCCATCCTTTATTGTTCTTCTAGCTCATCAGGCAATCAACAATCAGGTAAACTTCTTCTATGACATAATTAAGAATCAATTGATAACTGAAATAAATGATGAATCACAGAACACATTTTTATGAGTGTTAGTTAGAATGATAGTTAATTACATGAGATTTCAACAAAAATAAAGAAAGTGGACGTTTAAAAATGCAAGAGATTCTTCCTTTAATTCTTAGCCTAGAACCAGATAATATAAAAAGCGTTCTAACAAACTATCGCGACAATGAGAACTATAAACTATTCACGAGACTTTTTCTTGTTCAAGTTAGAAATTCAATATCAAAATTATTAAAAGAGGAAGATTACGGCTCAATATCTATTGCAGCACAAAAAACATTCGATAAAATGAAAGGTCTCATGGAAGTTGTTAAGCCCATTGATGAAGATTTAGAACAGGAAATTGTAACACTAATCCGTTCATTACTTATTCATAAATATCCATATGGTATGCAGGAATTCGAATCCAAAGATCTTGATTCTATACTAGAAATCAGCGATCCTAAGTTTAAGGCTCTTTTCTCATGTGGATTAAAGCAATATCTATCAGAGATAGTACTAAATAAGATTTTAGATCAATGTAAAGAAAAGATAAACGAATTCAATGATGAATACGAGGTTTCTGTATTATCCGCAACAATGAAAACGTTATCAGATAATATTTTCTTATTCTCCGATAAATTCCCAGAACTTTCTAACAAATTACCTTCAATGAAAGCAACAATCTACTCTCTGGTCGTTGATTTCCGTGCAAAACAAATTTTTGATATTGTTGCTTCCTATCCAGATTCAACACCATCACTTTACGATCTTAGAGAAAGCTGCCTTCACGCTCATGCCCACAAGAAAGTTGCACAGATTGCAACTGAAATCTTTTGCAACAGATTGTTGCATTTAGGTGCGTCAACAACAGATATTGTAACACAATATATTAGTGCTATCCAAGCTCTTAACATTGTTGATGAAAGTGGAGGTTTAACAAGAGCAATTTCTCCTCCAATTCAATCTTATTTGACAACACGTCCAGATTTGCTAACAACAATTGTTGAAAAGATCCTTGAAGATAACACTCTCATGGATAATTCACGTCCTTCTGCCCAAAAGCCAAACGATGATGATGTATTAAGAGAAGCTTCTGCTCAAAGGGAGTTGGATGAGAAATGGAATCCAGAACCTCTTCATAGCCATATCAGAGACCTCCAATCTCTTGTTAGAGATGCTTCAGATAGCGATGCTTTGGCATTGTTATTAAATGTTTATGGAAGTATTTCTAGTTTCGTTTCACAGCTCGAGAGGGAGATTGCTGCACGTGTAGAGAGTCGTCCTGGCTATAACTTCGACAGCGAAGTCCGAGCCATTGAGATTCTTAAACGAAGATTCGGAGCCCAAATTTTCTTGAATTGCGAAGTCATTTTGCAAGATGTTGCAGACTCAAAGCGTTTGCAACAAGGAAGTGGAGTCATGCATTTCCAGCCACTCGTTGCTTCCCATATGTACTGGCCAGAGCTTAATGGTGATGAATTCACTCTTCCTCAAGGTTTGGCCGAAGAAGTTTCCGCATTTGAAAAAGAATTTGACAGAGTCAGAAAACAAAGGAAACTTAAATGGTATCATACAATCGGATGTGTTGAGATTGTTTTGGATTTCGATGATGACGAAACACTCTCAATCACTGTACCTCCTCTTGCAGCAGCAACAATTGCTTTATTCAATGACAAAACTGAGTTTGATACTTCATATGTTTCCAAGAAATTGTCAATATCTAAAAGAGCTGCTGAACATGCAATTTCATTCTGGATGTCTGGAGGTGTCATTGTAAGAGGCTCTTCAGAAGGATCATTCAGAATGAGCAGCAAGAAACCTGCTGCAGCTGTTGAACTTGCAGAATCAGCAAGAAGCGACATGATTGGTTTGTTGTTCGAAGAAAAGAAGAATCCAGAAGAAGAAGAAAATGGAGAAGAGGAAGAAGATTTCAGCTCACCTGTCGTTTTGTCAAAGAGACTGAGACCATTCGCATTAACAATTTTACAAGCTCGCCCACGTGAGAAATTCACAATTGATAGTTATTATTCACTTTTGATGAGATTTGTTAGAATTCCAAAGCTTAGAATTGAAAAGGCTGAATTCTTGAAAATAATCCCTATTTGGGTATCAGAAAATATGATTACTGTTGATGGAGAAAATGTTGCCCTCGTGAAATAATTAAATAAATCTAAGATGTTTTTTTAAAACTTTTTTTTTCTTTTTGAAATGCTTTCATCTTAAGAGAGCGATGTATCATAAAAAGTGATAGAGCAAAAGATATGAATATGCTTTATATATAGATACATCATGATAGAAACGGATACTCTAAGATATGGTTGAGTTCTTATAATTTTCAAACGATAATTGTAAAGTTTTATTTTTTTTATGCTGAGAAAAAAAGATCGTCCAAAGCATTATGATGCATTGATAGATACATTTAGGTATTATATAGATTTATTTAATGGATTATATCGGCTAAAAACAAAAGATGAAGGGGAATTGAATTCGATTTACAATAAAATAAAAACCCTCTTGATCGATTCAAAGATATATCGTCCAGAAAAAATGATAATAGAAATAGGAATGATGGCTGAGTATAATAACCGCTACATGAAGTCATATCTCTTTTTAACCAAACTAATTTATGATGATTATCATCCAGAAGATGTAAACGTTTCAGATATTTTTGCCTACTTATTTTATAAAGAGTATGCCATCATCCTTAAAAACATTGCTGAAACTAACTTCGAATATTTTGAATCACAGCATTATACACCTGATGTTCATGATGAATACTCAATTTATGGAGCAATTATGAATGATAACCTAGTTAGATTTATTCCATATACAGAATGTGAAGATTTTAATGAATATTAAAAACTTGAAAGCGAATGCTATCCAATAGAATATGGAAAACTATCATTACTTCAATTGTGCTGTTATCATGGTGCTGTTAATTGTTTCAAATTTTTGTTAACAAAATTCGAACTATCAATCAATCTAAAATGCCTTCGTTTTTCTTTTTTAGGAGGAAATCCAGACATTATGCATGAATGTTTGAAAGAAGAAGAACCAGATGAAGTTTGTATGGAGTTTGCAATTATATCCCATAATGTTGATTTTATTTCATATCTATACAACGAATATTATATTGATATTGATTTGATTCAATGCGGATTTTATCAGAATCTTGAAGCATTTTTAATTTATCTTGATCTAACTAATGATATTGAAAGATGTTTTGCTCATTCACCTGAATACTTTGATCCAAAACTTTACTATTACTTGTTTGAACAAGGCGCACTTATCAATTTCATAGATAAGTACAGTGATACAGCACTTCATTATGCAGCGCATCATAATATAGGGTGTCCAAAGGTGCGTTTAGCACAGCGCTCTATATGAGACTATTAAAGGAGATATATGCTGATTATAAATATATAATAAAAAATATGAATATATGTATATGATGAGTAAGTTGTATTTTGGCGCCATGCCGGGATATAAAATGAATTTTGAGACAAGAGGCGGTTTCGCGGGAAATTTTGGCGGGATTTTTTTCATTTTTTTAATGAATCATAAAGAAAACATCCTCGCTCTTGCAAAAAAATGCAAAGACTGTAAAAAATCTACGAGACATTGGTAAAATGCTTCGGTATGGATGCTCCTAGCTATTCCACTGTAACGTATCATGTTAGGATGTATCACTTCATGAACAAAAAGGCGCCCATCATAAAAATTGACAAAAAATCGCCGGATCAAAGAAAAATCAAAGCAATTCTTCAAGCGCTAGATGAAGACCCAAGAGCATCACTCAGAAGGATAGAGGAGATGACAAAGATACCACGTACAACAGTCAATTATTATCTGCACAATTATTTGAACTACAAACTAGCGTATACACGTTGGGTTCCGCACAACCTTAATTCAGTTCAAAAAAAATCTAGAGTCCAATCTTCGAAAGAGCTCCTCTCTTTATTGCGTGCGTATCAATCCAAGAAGTTTCGCTTTTTAGTAACAGGGGACGAGTCTTGGTTTCAATATGCAACAGAAGCCAAAATCATGTGGATCCCGAAGGATGAAAATCCGCAAACATTCCCGAAGAAAAAAATTGACACACCAATGATGATGTTGTCGGTTTTTTGGGGCGTGAATGGCATCATCGCAATTGATATTCTTCAAAAACCTAATACGATGAATGCTCAGTATCTAATTGACAATGTTCTTACTCAAATTATCAATTCTGATGAGTTTGAGAAATCCAAACAACAAAAACAAAAGTTTGCAATTCATTTTGATAATTCAAGAGTTCACAAAAGTCATAAGGTAATGAATTACTTGGTGGAAAACAATGTCAAAGTTGTTCCAAACCCAATTTATTCACCTGATATTGCACCCTCTGACTTTTATTTATTCGGCACGCTAAAAAAGAGAGCTGAAGGACGCGAATTCGCGAGTCCAGATGATCTTGAAAATTTTGTAAGAGAGCAATTTGAGCAATTTTCTCATGATGATTTAAAGCGTGTCTTTCAAGCCTGGATCGATCGCTGCGAACGCGTGATTGAATCCAATGGTGATTATATTTAAATAAACTTTATATATATTTAACTTGTTTATTTCTATTCGCAGTATTCAGGTTTGTGCTAAACACACCTTTGGACACCCTATAGAATAGAAATTGCACAACACCTTATTTCAAATGGAGCGGATATAAATGCAAGAACCAATAGGATGGAAACTCCTCTTCATTTTGATGCATTATTTAATAACATTGAAGTTGCGCAGCTTCTTATTACACAAGGTGCAGACATCAATGCAAAAAATGTTGATGAAGAAACTCCTCTCTATTTTGCTGTTGAAACAAATAGCAAAGAAATAGTCAAACTTCTGATTTTGCATGGTGCAAATATCAATGAAAAAGAACAGAACGGAAACACTCCACTTGATAATGCAAAAAAGCATAATTTTGCTGAAATAGTCGAAATGCTTACTCCAAAACCCCACTCAGACTCCAACTTTAAACTAATTTGCTAATAAATATTTTTGAATTTGATTTTTCCTTATTTCCTTTTGGTAGAATTCATATCTGATCAATATGTGCTTGTAGAATAGATATTCATATATTGACTTCGATATATTTTACCATCTTTTCCTTGATTCGTATGCTTGGCAAAAGCTTCAATGAAAGACTAACAATCAAAGAAGGGAAACATTCGAGTCCAAAGAAGAGCATTGCGCTATTGACTGCACATATTATAGTTCCACGAAAAATGTATTCAATGCAGAATGAAATTACCGATTGCTCTTGGTAAATTCGATTCATTTGGATCGTTTTTTTGTATATCAAATTTCTTTTGCAAATAAATATGAAAATCTTTGCACAATGAATGAAAAAAGTTTCCATGCATGCTTGAAGTCATTTGCTGGACCATTATATATTATTTTTATATTTTTTTGGTATTTTTATTTAATACATTGAAATATTTTTGCTTAAGTTGAAACTAATGGTGGTTTTACTCCTAGACTTCTCATTTTCAAAAGTAGAACAATTGATTAGCTATAAGCATCTTGAAGCTGATGATATATCAGAGACAACAGATGCCACTCCATATAATGCAAATCAGCATACCTTACAAATCGAATTAAATGAATTAGAATCTCAAATTCAAAAACTATTATCAGAAAATCAAGATGAATATATAAATGCAACTAACAAAATTATAGATTTTGTCCAACAAAAGCGCGGAAATGCATTCAGATATCTAAATCATACATCTTTTTACTTAACATTTCAAAATATACTTTCAGATGCACCAATTAGAGAGAAACACTCACTATTAATAATTCTAGTCGACGCGTTTATTACTCTTTCTCAGCCAAAAGCAGAAATTAAAAACTTATTGAGCGAAGAATTATTTAACATCAATTTATACATATTAAATCACTCAACAGATGAATACGCTATACAAAAAAGCATTAATTTTGTCATACACACCATGACTCAGTTCCAAGAATTCAGTTCAACGCTAATCAATTTGAATTATTTCGAAAATTTACTCGTAATCGAACTGATTAACAGAAAATCAGCAGCATTTCAGAATTCAGAACCATATCTCACCAATGAATCATTGTTAATTGAAGCATTAATGCATATTTTCCGAGTCTCATATGAAAATATTTCGGATTATCAATTTGGAGAGTTTTTGTCAGCATGTGTGGTATTAATATGCAATGGTTTAACTCTAGATATTACTAATTCATCAATTCGATCCGTAATTTCAATATTATCTATTGATCCCGATACAACTTTAAGATATATAGAAGAAAACCATCTAGAACAGCCAGTAATGTTTTATTCAAAGCATGAAAACTCCGAAATCGCTTATAATTCACTTAATTTAATGTATCAAATTGTTCAAAGAGTTCCATTGTTGTTTGATATTGATGAAATGATACTGTGTATACAGAAATATCTAGTTCGTCGAGGGAGCAACTCTGATATCAATTTTATCCTAATTTCTTGTAAAATTGCAGCAATTTACTTATCAAATCCTGATTTTCATGAGGTTTTCGCTAATGAAGGTATTATTTCACAACTTGCTGCATTGATTAAGGATCAATCTGTTGATGTAAAAACAGAATCATTTCTTGCCTTAAAAAACATCATTATTTTTGGAAGTAATGATGCAATTAACTACATATTTAGTAATTATGTTATTACAAAACCAATGATTCTTCTTTTAGACGTTGAAAATCAGGAATTAGAACACTCTATCATTAAATCATGTATAAAGATAGATTCTATAGCAAGAGCATTCAATATTTTAACAAGTGCAGCAAAAATTATTAAAAATGAAATTGATTATGAAAGACTTGAAGAAATAGCAGAAAATAGTGAAAATATGAATTACAAAATTGCTCAAAAGTTAATTAATATACTTTCTGACGAATAAATATATTATGTTTATTGATTTTTTTATCGAATAGAGACTTTTTAGCTTTTTTAGCACTTCAAACATAGTATGTTATTTGTATTGAAGAAAAAATAGTTTGCAGTGTATGTAATATAATTGTAAGTGTTATTAATAAAAAAAAATTAATTTGAAGCTTTCATGAAAGAATTTTCATTTAATAAATAACCTTTAATATTACAAATAATACTCTCGTTTGGATATAACATGAAATCAAAACGATAGCAAAAATATATAATTAAATCAGTAATTCGACATTATTTCTTTTGTTTTTCGAGCATTTGAAGCTTGTTGTTTAATTCTTGGAGTTCAGCTTTAAATCGTTTTGCGCCTTTGCCAACAACTTTAAGTGATTTGTCGTATTCTACAGCATCCTCCATATTTTTAAGGGCACGAATCTGTTCTCTGAGTTTCTTATTTTCGGCAAGAAGCTTTTCGTGTGAATCCTGAACTTCGTCAGAATACGTGTATTCCTCTTCTTCACTCATAATCCGTTTGAGAAATTTTTTTATCGAACGGCGTTACACAGAATAAAAGTGTTTTGAGACGGAAGTTAACAGGGAAATAATCATCATTTAACTTGTAGATTCATACTATTATATTTTTATTCTAATAAAGCTATAAATTCAGAATGATTTTAATTTTTTTTATCTCCATATAATAAACAAAAGGCCTATCGTATACTCCGGCTTAAGTATAGATAATGGAACTAATTATCATTATGGATAAATAAAATATTATTCGAATATAGTTTTTAAGCATAAATTTACCGAATATGATTGGATTTATTCTGATATACTATGTGGTAAAGCATAATTAAAACAATTTAGATTGATTTATTTTTCAGCAAATATATTGGAAAAAATAAGTAGAATGGTGTAAATAAATGATCATTTTTAAAACAAATTATGAATATTTTAATGCATTACTTTAAATAAAAATAATGATTAAAATTTGGATACAAAAATATAAAAATTACAAATAGTTTTGATATGATTTGGACTTATTCGGTCACAACATGAATAATCTTGATGGATTTTCAGTTGCATTCTTGACAATATTTTCAATTGAAATTCTTCTATGCATATAAGGGAAAGATAAAGGTTGTTGTACCATATTAAGCACAATTTGTGCATTTTCTATGGTTTTCATCACAAATTTTGACAAGTATTTCTTAGATATAATTGAAATCTGAACTAAAGGTCCAAACATGCTTACTTCTGCCTTCTTTCTTGATTCAACCCTAAACAAACCATTCGGGAGTCTCATTATAAGTATATGGACCTGGTTGAACTGAGAAGTAATCGTTTGGATATTGTAATCTGAGCAAGAAGCGGAATCAAGATAAACTATCGTTATGTGGTCATTTCCTATGTGTCTCTTCTTGTAAACTTGTTGTTTATCGTCTTCACGGTTTGCCATCATTGGTCCTGTGTGGACCATTATCTCAAATGATTCATCGCAGTAATAAGGTGTCATAGAAACATTCGATGGATCCAAACCGCCGTCATAACCGACGTGTGTGTTTATATCGACCAAATCACCAAGATTAGAAACGAATTCTCTGAAATCCGGTGAAGTGTTTTCGAGTTTACAAGTCAGGATTTGTTCTTGTGTCATATTCTTCTCAGATACGAAGATACATGCACATTTTATAGGGTATTTAAATGTGGATGTCTGCAAACGATTGATGTTAATATTCAAAATTTTTGTCGTTCCTTCATCATCTTTTAATGTTGACACTTTTTGTCGATCAATTCCAAGAGAAGCCATAACAGAAGGTGAATCTAGTTTTATCTCTGGTATTTGAGGGAGTGGGAATATATCTGTTGTATTCACTTGTTTTTGAGGAGGCTTTGATTGGCATTGATCAGGTAATCCGAAAAGTTTACAAACAGAATTAGTGAAATCTAATTGTCTTTGCATATCAACATCAGACAATTTGCATGTATTGTTAAATTCAATGGAATGTCTAACAGGAGTTACATCAGCTATATCCTTATTTTTCTGGAATTTGTATTGGAAATGTCCAGAATAAGTTTCACTTTCCAAAAGAACAGAATCATTTTCTTCTTTCTTGAAATGAAGAACAGAGTTATCTTTCGTAACTAATATCTTTGATTTGTCATCAACAGGAACAACTTCTAAACTACTTGGATGACATTCTTCATGATCCTTTAAATTAGCAAAAGTGACACAAATATTTGTAATCACTTCAATATTTAATCTTCTTTCGTTGTCGTTTTCATTTATTAAGTTGTTCTTTGAATAATTTGAAAGAAATGTCAAAAACTTTCTGCTGTCAATTTTAGTTTTGATGATCATTGAAGAAATAACTCCGTACAACAAAATTCTTTTGTCAATATCTTCTGGTTTAGAAACAGGAGGCAAATTCATGACATTTTCTATTAACTTCTGACAATCATCTGCATTAAATTCTTCAATAGCACTCAATAAACACAATGTTGTGACATTGCATAAGCCATTTGTAATTTTAATGAGCATGTCAATCAAAACTTTTCTGTCAAAAAACTTTTCAAATAATAAAGTGACGATAAGAGGTGAAATGATCGACGGTTTTTGATTTACCACCCATTTCTTGAGTATTTCGAAACTTTTTGATCTTTGTTGGTCACTCAAAAGTGGCATCATCCTAGAAAGTGACACATTAAATTCAGTACAACTTTGTATTTCATTAGTTGCTGCTATAAGCTTATCAAGAAGTGATTCGTAGTTTGTATAACCACTAAAAATGTAATTTGAAGCAGCTCTTAATGCGATTTCTTTGTCAATATTGAAGAAATCCATCAAAGAATTCTTCCATGCGTTATGGAGTGAGAAAGCAGTGATTGATCGTGATTTTGGTGATGATAGAATGGCATCCAGTAAATTGAAAGAGTCTGTTTGATTTGAATATTTCAATAATTTCTTGTATGAATCGAAATAAAAGAGTTTTTTGTTTTCATTCGATTTCATTTCAGGAGGAATGTTTGTGATTGAGTTTAATGTAGCATGGTAACTCACAAATACTGCAAACTCCATCATTTTTTGGTTTTCGTCTTTCTCGTCTTCATAAAGATTTGTAAACTTCTCAAATTTTTTCATATATTTTTGGTTTTCCTCAAGTTTATCGATGTTCAATGGTGTAACGATCAAATACTTTATTTTCTTTGTCTCTTCTTCTAATGTACTCAGAGATAATGCGGGAGGTTCACATAAATGAGGTGAGGTGAAAATAAGGTTACAATTTTTACAAAACCAGTCGTAATTTGTAACTTGTTTTGTTCTTTGTGATTTTTGGAGGTAATAATCGGAATTTTTCTGGGAATCTTCTTTGTTCAACTTAAGGATTAAAGGTAAAGAGTATACAGCCATGTATCTAGAGTATTTCATGAGAGAAGCAATGTACATTGGATTTTTACCGATTATTTTCTTCACAAAATCTATTTCAACTTTGGTCACTTCACCTGACATCAAAATGTAACTAAATGTGGATAAAAACAGAGCAATTGAGTTTCCAATGAATCTCTGGTTCTCAATGAGTTCCAAAATCATGTCAAAACCCGTATCAACTCCTTTTGTTGTAACTAAAATCATAATGAAAGAAAATCTGAGTTCATTTGAAAGAGAAAGAACTTCTTTGTCAACGGAATGCTGGTCTGCAAAGTTAGCAATGTTCAAAAGTGATAGGAAAAGAGTTTCTCCGGACTTTACAAGTGGTTCCAAGAACTCTTTGATGGAAACTAAGTAATTTACGAACATTAAAATGGATTTGAAGTTTTCTGAGGACAGTGTCTGCTCTTTGGTGAACAGTTTGACAATGAACATCGTAATTGCGGGGTTGAAAAGGAAAGTTAAGTCGGGATTTTGTTGACTAATATCCCCTAGAAAGTTAAATATGATAGAGTTGATCTCCTGTGGAGGTGGGAACTGAAATCCTATAGGAGGAGGTGGTAAATAAGCTTCTTCTGCGATTGTCGGGTATACTATGATTAAAATATTCTCGAAAAGTATACGAGAAGTCTCTCTAGGGAACAGTTTCCAGTTAACTTTGAGGAAGTTCAAGAATGATCGAAGTATTCCGAGACATTTTGTTATATCTATTGAATTTTCTTCTTTTGGATTTGATTTAATGTATGTATTTTGGCCAAAGAACTTTGCAAATTCGTCCTTTTCATTGTCACGAGCAAATCTACTCCACGGAATAGCATAGTATAGCGCATGGTGAACCTGCCCCATATGCTCTTTTTTAATGTGCTTAAGAAGTTCCAATAAAACCGCAACTGCTGCTTCTCTGCCACTATCAGTGCTTAATGGATGAAGTAAAATTTTGAATATCGAACTTAATTTTAATATTGTTGATCGTTCGTAGTTTTCTGGCATAGATCGTTGAATCACAAGTCGCATCGTAGTAACTAGTTCAACTGTATTGACGAATTTCTTCTTTCTGAATATACCTTCGTCTTTACCTCCCGAGAATAACTCAAGATAATCATTGATAGATACGAAAAAATCTCGAAAATCATCCCTCATGAAAGCATCCATGTCAAAAGCTTTGTCATAAAGTATCTTTTGAACATAGATCTCGTATGGATGCAATGGAGGCATAAATTAGAAAAGCAAATACAATATTTGACATTTTTGAATTGACAAAAAATTGAATTTTTATTGAAAAATTGCACATAGTAGCTATAGAGTTACAATTTCGATTGGATCCAAACTGCCGAAAAAACTGCCCATTGTCAAAATCAAATCAGTCCGAATAGAATTCTTGAGCTTTAAGGAACATTTATAATTTTGGTGTACCGATTTTGATCAGAAAAGACATACTTTTTTTTAAATGATGACATTACGATTTCGAACTTAGCTCTATTTCTCCTCCCCTCTCTTAATTATTTTTCCCAATAAGAATGAACCATTCATTGTCAAATAAACATTTCGGTATTTATCCGCGAATAATACGTGAATAAAGCGCTTTCGTCTAAATATGAGGTTTACTGTTAAGTAATTATTATCTTTCATGTGATATGATTTATTGTGTTGCTCGTAGAAGCTTCTTTTTTAACAATCGAAAAAAAAATCAGAAACGAAACTGTATTAAGGATACCCTTACATTGCGTAGTTAGAAAGAAAATATGATATTGTCATGATTGCTAAAGTTTTAGGCTCCAGAAATGAATATACATCAAACTGAAACAATTGATAAATTGAATGAACTTTTGAGAGGTTCTCAAATAAAAAAAATTATCTAATTTTTTACAATATTACTATTATTTTATCCACATATGTATATATAGTAATTTGAGAAAACTTTTAGGAAAAAATAAGTTTAATAAAAATCTGAATTTTACTTGTTGTGGGATTGTTATTAATTGACACTCCAGACGTATTACTAATAGTTATGCGTATGCAATTAAAGTACTTCTGATGGACAAAATGTGAGATTTATATCAGATAATTCATTTCTACTATTAAGTTATTCATTTATGAGTTTGCACTTATTCGCACTAAATAAATAACTATTAAAATTGTTTTAATTAATTGACACCATATAATAGAGTGAATTTTGTTTGATCAAACAACAATAGATGATAGATATAAAGCCAAGAAACTTGCTATTAATATGCTCTACTTGCTATTTCAATGTAAGTATGATATTTTCTAAATGTTTCGTTCAGATAACTTAGATATATTAGTCAAAATTTGAAATTTTAATAGCACATATATTAAAAATAATTATTATTCATAAAAGATTAATGAAATAGTAAAAAAAAAAATCAATCAAATTATAAAAATACAACATATGGTTTTTTATGGTTGTCTCATAATAGCATTTCATGAGAAAAAATATAATACTATTTATTTTTGCATAGTTCAATTTTTTTAAATAATGCAAGATATCCCGCCATTAGTTTTCATGAAATAATCCAAAAATCAGCATACACTTGAGAACATAGCAGCTCTACATGTTTTCGCTATTTATTTTCCAATAATATGAGGGGTTCACGGGATAAAGCTTCATTAAGCATAATTGATTACAATATCATCATATATATACCGAACATATAACAAATGGGATATTTGTATACTAAAATAAAAAAGGAGCAAATTATATAATTTTTGTCATGCTACTTATAGGTTCAAAAATCTTATAATATAAAAATATTTTCAAATACAAAGAAAATATGTGTTTATTTCAAATTTGAAAATTAGATATCTTGTGGGGTCCACTTTCCTCCTCTGTAATCACCTGTAGGGTTATCCTTAGGAAATCTTTTTGCATTTCTTGCCTTGTTGATCTCTTTTCTTGTTTCTGGTGTAGCTTTCTTTTGATTTCTGGATTTATTTTTCTCATATTCAAGTTTTTGGAGTTCGCGGATTGAAGGAGATATTTGGTAATTATTGACACGATTGTATATTTCTTGTTTGCATTTCTCTCCTTCGTTTTTTTGTAAAATTGTAACAGCCGTACGCATTTCAAACGATTTTGCGTTGTTTCCTTTGGGACACTGAGTAAGCATTGAGTGATGTATCGATTCATTTTGTTGTGTTTGAGCATTAGGATCAATTTCTGGAATCAACTTTGCGGCATCATCTGTAAAACGTTGAAATTGCTTCGCTAAATCAGGTTTTGTAAGTGGCTGAAACACAGGATATTCTTTGTCTTTTTCGTGAAGGCAATTTTCATGCCTTCCGATAAAATGATTTAATGTATTCTTCCATAGGAAAATTTTTTTCGTTGTTTCAATTGGAAGCATGATAATAAAAGTGAACCACTTAATAACTTTCGAATATATCTGATGAAATACTTTTTCTTGGTGTTTTAATGGTCTTCCACGTTTCTTCGGCTCTTCTGCTTTAGATTTGATTGGGAATGCTGGCTGTGATTCACTTTCTTTCTGTTGATTAACAGTTTCTTTTCCTGCTGCTTCTTTATATCCACCATTTTCAAGCTTTTCGAAAGCTCTGCCAACTGCACGTACACAATGACGAGGATCAAGTGTAATTTTAGCATTCGGAGCATATTGCTGGATGATGGCTTTCGTTTTATTGTCATTGTCATGAACCACTGTGGAAACATTTGTAAAGTCAAAATTTGACATCATCCTCTTTGTACATTCTGTTTCCATCATGTTGGATGGGCCTTCAAAGTCTCCTCCAGAGCTCTTTTTTATAACAGTTGTTTCACCAACAACTTTTCCACGGTTGTCCATCATTAAACTTTGGCACGCTGTAGCATTTCTGCCAACATTATAATGCGAATCAGTGCTTAAAAATGTATCTTTCTTCATTGTTTGTTGAGCATTTTTAATAGATTGCTCTTTATATTCTAGTATTACCTTACCTATTTCTTTTTGATGACGGTAAAACTCTTTTTCACTCGGCACTTTAATATTGTTATCTTGAAATAAATTCCTTGCTCGAGTATAAGAGTCACCATTAACAATTACAGAAGCAGTCCAGTGTTTTGGATCGACTTCCTTTGGCGCATTCTTTTCTTGGGAGTTTTTTCTTGCTTCAATTGATTTTTCGTTAGCTTCACGACTTTGTTGTTTGCGTCTGCTTGGTGGAGGCATATTACGTAAATGGTCGGCAAAAAATGTAATAAACGTAGTGAATAATTAAAAAGATTGCTTTATATAACAAATATAATCATTTTTTCCTTAGAAATCCCATTATTTGCATAACAATATTTAAAAATATTTTTTTGATATAGTTTACAGTCACATCAATATGAACTATATTAAACTATCAGAAACTTATGTATGTTATTAGTAAAGTTGAAATTTTTATCATATTTACACATTAAATTTAATTTTCATGCATATTTAAGTTTTTTTCAACACAATCTTGTATTGTTAGTACCGACAATATGAAAGAAAGTTATACTGTATTTAATTTTAGCAATAAACAAAAAAATCTAAATTATATCTTTAGATACTAGGATTGATTTAATGACTAAGAACGTTTTTATCAATAATACCATGATTCATAACATATAGACATAACCTAAATATACCAAAGCATTTCTACTTGGAACTAGCGCATCGCCAAAATAATGGGTCAATATTCATTTGACGTAATGCTGATCGAGAGAAGTCTTTATATATAAGCCTTATCACAATGCCACGAATGCACCCAGCTGCAGGCGTGTCTTGTTTAACATTCATTCCTATATATGATGGAACATTAATCAATAATCATGGAAGTATCACTTTTCAAATAACATCATTGTTAAATGAAAGAAAATTGTATGCAAAATTACATTTTGGTAATGGTGAGACGCAATATGTTGAAGTATATATCATTATTATTTAATATACAAACAAACTCTAGTACAAAATTGTATTAATTCAACTTTCATGTCTAATATAAAAACTTTTTTTAAAAAAAAGAGATATAATCGTGTATAATATGAGAAAAATGAATATCAATACAAAATAAAATATCAATTAGCTATTGCTGATGACATATCATGAATATTGATCATTTGATTTGATTAATTTTGATAAATATTAGGCTTTTTGCTAGTTACATATTACAATAAGGCTTTTAAATGGATATTTATTGATATGAGCTTATTTCAAAATGACAGTCTTTGATTTATCCACTAATAAGATTTGATGTCACAAAAATCTAGATTTTGGGGCATAAAAACCTAACACCAAATCATAACTTCTGTGCATATACTAAATTGAGTACAGAAATATGTTAATTTTCAGTATTTTTAGAAGAATTCTTATTATCCTTCAAAAAGTCAGTATTTCTGCTGTAATTTTCTACAACATTGTAGTTATTGCACTTTGTCTATGGATTTGTATATATGTTATATATAAATTATATATCTAAACTGCCCATAAGTGCAATTTTTATATAAATTGTTTATTTCTTTAACAATTTCATATGAAATATGCTTTTTTAAGCGTATCAAAGCTGTGTTCTTAATGTGCATGGATATATCAAGAAAAATGTCGAAAAAAAATGTGAATTCACAAATTCACTGAATTTTCACCGTTTTTTGAATTTTGCTACAGCACTAATATTAAATAATACTAAAATCTTCTGTCTTTGTAAAAGAATAAATTCTGACAAAAAGTGCTCGTTTAAATTTAATGATCATCTGTATGACTAAGTGGTAAAAAGTGTTTATGACCAAAAAAGGGTTACATGCTTAGTCTATTTTTCTGACAGGATACTCTAGATTTACATGATCTCTATTTCATATCTCCGTTTTTAGATTCTTCGACAGATTTTATGATAGAAAACCAAGATTAACAAATTTCCGGCATGTTAATGAAGAAATCTGCAGCTACCCTCAATATTATTTCAATAATCAGTATCGTTTCTCTTACAATTTATTTTTTTCTCAATAATTTAACAAGAAATAACAATACACACTTGGTTTTACGTATAAAAGCTAAGTGTCGAACTTAATCAACTTTACTTACTTAGCAAATGAATATTTTTGTGGTTGCGAGTTCTGAATGCTGAAGTTTTAGATTTCTCTATAAATGATATCATTGCACTTACAATGTTGTTCCAGCCTATCGCATAAATCATAGAAAATCCAAAAAAAAATAATATAAAGAAAATTCATGTCATGAAGTTCAAAAAATACCGTGTAACATTAAAATTTGTTATGCATAATACATTTTAGCTATTATTGATTTTTTTTAATTTTCGAGAAATTGAATGGTGAGTCCGATAGAGAAATTTTTAAAAATCCTAGTGCCTCATAGAAGTAATTTCCCTCGTCTCCCATACTTCCAAATGTATGCATATGACATAAACTTTTATGCATTACACAAGTGGCCAATAATATCTATAGAGTAAAAAATTAGAAATTTAATTTTTTTATATGATAGTTATATTTCAGATTTGCGAGCGTAACTTTTTTCTCCATGGCATACTTGTTTTAAGAGCAAATGATCAAAATCGTCCTTCAATTATTGAAGGAGCTGATATCTTTTGAAAATTGAATTGAAAGGGTATTCAATTTTCAAATTTCCTCTCAATTTTGGAAACATATCAACTCTATGAATTAACAATTATGTGCCTTCACAGTTTATCAGTCATATAAGGTGCTTATAAAGAAAAAAGTTACGCTCGCAAAATATGTTTTTATATAGATTTCACATAAAATAATTATGTAATTTCTAAAAAGAATATTTTTGTTCTTGAATATTAAAGTGTATTGTAGTTTAAAAAGTTTTAAATATGTTGCTAAAATTTCAGTTTTATAGCTCATGTCTAGCATGACTTCTTCGTATGCGCAAAAAATCTGACACGTAAGGGTATCCTTAAGGGTGCACACGAGAGGATTATGTAAACTTCAGAATTTAGAACCTTATTTTTAGGCATTATCTTGGCTACCTATTTAGGCTCGAAAAGCAAAAAATATCAAAAAATACAACTTGACTCCATTATGACCCTTTCATGGAGGTAGTTTTTATCCGCTAGTATTTTCCCTTTGAATCTCTTTACAATTCGAAATCAAATTCAAAACTCAGTAGAAGAAAGGAAGAATCGACTTACTACGGTTGTAATACGAATAAATACATATATTTAATTATTTTTATTTACATAATAATTGTTTGAAGCTCATATTCCATCAAATTTTTAAATAAAAACATTAAAATGTTGAAAATGTTCATATATTTTAATAGGGTTTTGGCACTTTATTGAGGAATTACTACATACATAGTCGAACTGAACTTGATATTTTGAAATTTAAATTATTTATCAAAATTAAAATTTAACTTGAAATTTATAATTATTTAGTCATATTTTGCATAATTCTAAGTAGATTTTGTAAAAAATCAAGAAAGAAAAATTTTAACGTGCTTTATTTTTTTCTTTTTTATAATAATACATATTATTATATAATTAACATATTCATAATGTTTCACCCTTTCAAAAATATAATCCTCCTCCTCTCAAATAAACGTACATACGGGTGGCCTCTTTTTTCAAAAAATCAAAATTTGAAATTTTGGGCTCAAATATTAGAGATTTTTTCAACCTTCAACGATATATGTTGTCTATATCAGACCTCCTTTCTTTTTGATACTTAACATTGTTCCTAAATCTTAGCCGTTAAGGCTGTTCTGAAAATATTTTTTTTTCGAAAAAATTCGAAAAAAATTCTTAAAATTCAAAAATCGCTTAATTCCTGAGGATTTTGGAAAAAGGTTTTTACATGAAAATGTGTGTATTCTATGAAGTATATTGATAAGGTAAAAATCAAATTTTATTGCATATTCATCGAGAAAATAAACTAACGAATCCCTCAAAATTGAGAGGGTAATCCTCCTCCTCTCAAATAAACGTACATACGGGTGCACCCTTAAATTAAATTCGAAAGATCTTTATAATCACTCAAAAGAATATATAATAGAAATTAACAGCAGCCTTTCTTACCAATGGATTGCCCCTTTTTAAGAGAGACGTTCCCATTTGAAGATCCGGTAGTAAATTTACCGCTTTTCTCGCGCATGGCTCTTGCCATCAAATCAAACAAGTTATCAACGTTTATGGAATCTTTTGCGCTAGTTTCCATGAACGGTACATTGTAATCACGGGCGAGCTGTTCTCCTTCTTCAAGGGAGACTTGACGTGATTCATTTAAATCGCATTTATTGCCAATTAAAATTTTACATGAATCTTCATTTGGCTCTGAAGTATTAATTTGTTCAAACCAGTCACTTATCTTTTCAAATGTTTTTCTGTCTGTTATATCATAAACAACTACAATACCATTACTACCATGATAATAACTTTTTGTGATCGCTCTAAACCGTTCTTGGCCTGCTGTATCCCAAATTTGTAATTTTACTTTTGCTCCCTCTTGTTCAATAGTACGAATCTTAAAATCTACGCCGATTGTAGAAATATAATTCTCGATAAACAAATCTTCCGTAAATCTGAGTAAAAGGCAACTTTTTCCAACGCCAGATTCACCAACAATTAACACTTTGAAAAGTAAGTCATAATCATTTGACATTGAAATTTTTTTCAATTCTCACGGTATGAAAAATTTTTGTGCCATCATAGATAAATTTGAGTAGGGGTAATTTTAGCTAAAAGTGACACAGTTGTAAAAAGTGACACACCCGTGAAGGGTGTGATTACCGATCGGTAATTTCGACAGTTTAGAATTTAAAATTTTTTATGGAACTGTTGCGAGTTTCATAAAGAATTTAAGGAATATAAGCAAAGATTTGAATCAAAATCTTAGACCTAAGCCGCTCGATTCGCTCGCGGCTTCCGCGAATTACAGATCAGCAAAGATTTGAATCAAAATCTTCGAACTAAGCCGATCGCTTCGCTCGCGGCTTTCTTTATTATTTTAAATTTGCATATTTCCATTAAAAGTTCATAAGGTAAAAATTTCGTTTATATTATTGCAAAATAAAATCTTCATTATCAAAATAATATTAAATAATAATATAATATAATTTATAAACAACTATTATTTAATAAAGTTTAATTGCCAAGGTTCATCTAATTTTTTGATTTTTAATGTTTTATGAATTTTATTTATCATGTATATATCTAATGAAGATTATATATGTAGAAGATAAGTACCTTAATATGTACGTAAATTTTAATGAAATTTAAACAACATTATAAAAATTTATGAATAAAAACTTGATATAAAATAACATTTTTATTTTTACTAAGAAAAAAAAGGTTTTTGATAATAAATTTATTTTATTTCGAAAAAGTAGCAATAATCGTAAAAGGGTATTGATAGGCTTGCTAAAGTAACTAATTTTAGCTGTCAAATACTTTTGTATTTTGAAGTAAATTAGTATAAATTTGTTTTTACTTTTATTTCGAAAAAGTAGCAATAATCGTAAAAGGGTATTGATAGGCTTGCTAAAGTAACTAATTTTAGCTGTCAAATACTTTTGTATTTTGAAGTAAATTAGTATAAATTTGTTTTTACTTTTATTTCGAAAAAGTAACAATAATCGTAAAAGGGTATTGATAGGCTTGCTAAAGTAACTAATTTTAACTGTCAAATACTTTTGTATTTTGAAGTAAATTAGTATAAATTTGATATTATTTTAACTCCCTTTGAAAACCTCAATTTTCCATACAGAGGGAACGGGAATAGCATCCAATATTCCCTGAGAATGGTTGCGCATTCTCAGTTCCCTCTATATTTCGAACGAAGCTCTCATCGGTCTTTTTTTTAATACTAAACGTTTTTTCCCCTGTCACTTTTAGCTAAAATTTGGGTTTGCCGATAAATTTTTGAGTATTCTTACTGTAGTAATAGAATATAGCGTGTATATATGAGTTTTAAACAATTTTCCCCTGAATATGATTCTGAATTTTGAAATTGGTAGGAAATTATAATTGTTTGATCTATTTCCAAGTTTTTACTGATTGATTCTAATCAAATACTAGTAATAAATCGAACAATTTCGATAAATACTTATATCCACTATTCAATATGCATTACATATGAATCTTAGTTATATTATTTTAAAATATTGCTTGTGTATTTTTATCTTATTCTCATAATTTAATCGGAAGGATTACAATATAATATCCTCTCTTTAAAATGTTCATTAAATTGATCAGATTACTAATTTTTAATTTCTACATTGTTTTATGAGATGATCTTGGAGTGTGTTATAAGTTTTTAAGTCTTTATCCGTGTTGATTTCATTGATCTCATCTTCCGATTTTTCCTGTCACTAATAATCATGCATTAACAGATATCTAGGAAATTGAAGAACTGTTGATTGAAATCCCGATTTGATTTTACAATGTCCCACAAAAAACAATCATTCCTTTTGAATTTTTGAAAGACTTTCAATCATAAGTAATCTAGGAATATCATTAATGGATAGTTCTAATTGTACAAATCGAAGAAAATTTTAATTTGGACGGGTTCTCCGTCTCGGAAAATATGTTTATCCATTTCTGAACCATTGATTATTTTGAATTGATGCTTTCGAATGGCTACGAGTGATAAAATGTATTAGAATGTATATAGCATTATTTTAATATGAAAAATAAATTAAATCACCATTTAGTGAGTTAACATATTTTATTGAAATGATTGGTTAATTTAAAGCAGATCAATAATTGTAATTAGATTTAATAAGATTAAATATGATTTTTTTATAATATTTTGGAGTTGTTAAGAAATAACGAAGAACTTTATTAGGATAATTAAGATATACATTTATCTGCATTCAAAAGTAAGTCAGGCACTTTCAAATCAAATTTGATTATCAATTACAATAAAATATTGAGTAATGTGAGTACTCTCTTAATAAAATAATTTTCATGGGTAATGTTATGGAAGAAATGGCATGATGTGTAAAATCTTTTTATGGAAATTGACATGGGTAAATTTTATAAGCTAAAATTAATAAATTAGAATTCATTGGAAGAGAATTTTTATACAAATATTTTGAGATGATTATAAATTTTTCAATTTGATTTGTGATTGAAAAGGTGTCAAAATGAATTGAAATAAATTTATTGAATTTACCAACGGATTTAGTAAAATGTGGATAAATTGGATCTGCTTATATTAATTACCAATTTAATAATTTTACAATGATTTTAAAATTGAATATGTCAAACATATATTTTGAACTTATTCAATTTTCAAATGACAAATTATAAAAATTCCGAAAATAAGATACGCGTATATATAGTCACGTAGACTATGCCAGGAATTACATTGGGAGATCAGATAGATTGTATCCTTTATAATTAGAATTTTTTTATTCTATATATAAAAAAACAGAGAAATAATAAATTTTCCAAAGGAAAAGTAATTAGGTCATCCATCACTATTGATTTGAATTCAATTGCAAATCAAATATAATGAAATACATACAAAAAAATAAACCAACTATATTAGGTTAGATAAACTAAATGATTGAAAGCCTACTGTTCGTTTTGTTGGGACTAAAAGGTCAATTGGCTGAGTTGCAGATACATTTATCGGTTTTGAATCATAATTACAGTTCCATAAAGGCTGAGGATCATCAGAATCATTGTTTAACCATATGAGTATTGGGAATATTATTTCCCATCTTTCAGCGAACCAACAATACATTGCTAGCTTATTCCTATTAGATAATCTATCTATTTTTAGGTGTGTATATTTGGATATTAGGGCCGCAACCTTTTTTATTTTGTTAAAGCTTACCTTTGATCCATATTTGGAGGCAATAAACTTTTGGGCTATCTCGAATCTTTCACCGCATGCTTTAATTCGTTGGTTAGTTATTGTTTGTTCTTCAAGTGTACACTCCGAAATTGTGTTTCTTTTTCCCACTCTCTTTATCACGTATACTGGATGGTCCACTTGATCTTCCTCCATTTGAAATGCAAATATTTTGTAAATTTTGAATTCATTCACAAATTTAATCTCTGTAATAAAGTTATATATGTTTTTAGTTTTAGCTTTTATTTTCTATACCATTGAAATTCCTATTTGTTATTTCTACAATATTGAATGGTTTACAAAGATTCCCACTGAAACAAAAGGGATATAAAAATTATTGATACTTCTCATTAGCTAAGGAAATGAATGTTCTGCCAATTTTGGAAATTCAATTATTCTCAATTTAAAATTGATAGATATAAGAGAGGAATTTTTATTCAATAGCTTACCAATAATATGATTTCTCGTTGTTTTTTTAATTCGCCTCAATATAAAAATTATATAAATATAAATTTTAAATCATTGTATTAATATTATTATGATAGTAAAATAGATTTTTTCAGAATATTATCGTTATTTTGACAAAATTTCATTGAAGGTAAAAATTGCATATTGAATTTTCTCAAAAATTTTTGACATCAATTGAAATTGATTAGCTAAAATAAATCGGATAATAATCTATAGTTTAACCTAAATAGATTCAAATTTCTAATTGGTGCCACAAACCTTTGCAGTACAATCAACCTTGCATTTCAATAATCAATATACGTGTATTACAGAATGCAAACCAGAAAAATAAAGAAATCATCACTTTTAAAGTTATGGAATTTTTATCAAATTGTAAGTCGTAAATGTGATTGAAAATCCAATCGATTATGATTCTAATGTCGATATCGGTAATTAAAATGCTATAAATAAAACATATTTTTGATAAATCTAATTACTTCAAATTTTTTTGAGAAAGTCATTTTTTGATGAGAACACAAACGAGAAAAATTTCAGGAACTGATTTTAATTTTCATTTCCGAACCATCAAGATTATATGGTTCACCTAGAGAAGAGTTTCTCAAAATATCAAAAGTGAGTCATTTTTTTCTTCCACTTTGAGTAAAAGTTCAACAGCCTTTTCAAGTCAAAAACGTCCATGAGTTGTTTTAATTGATCTAGAACTATCTGTCAGGCATGAAATAATGCGATAAATTATGATATTATGCATTTTTTTGAATCAAATAATATGACTAGGCTGATGTCAAGTTTTGTCATTTTACAGTTGCTATTTCCTGTTCGTAAATCGTGTTAATGAAATCGAGTAAAAAAAATACTATGTTTTCTTTATGTTAATTGGAATTATAGTTCCATTAACACAAATTCATATAGTATTAATCTTTTTCCCTACTGGTTGAATACATATTATTGGCCATTGAAAAAATAGTGATTCATGATATATTCTAGAGTCGATTTATGTATTAGACTATAATGTGGTTTTTATTTAAACATATCAGATGATGTGTGTACTCATGATTCTCTATTAATAAGGTAAGTTATATGAAGATACCTTAATGAAGAATTAAATGATTAAATAAGGATAGTTTTAATGTCATATTTAGGAAAGTAGGATAGAAAAAACGATTTAAAACATAAAAAAAATTTATTCAAAAAAATTAATCTTAACAAATATATCTTATGTAAGGAATGTAACGACGTTTTCACCATTACCATGAACCCAAATGAAAGGAGGCATCGAATCTGAAACGATGTCGATTGTTCCGAGCCAAACCTTTGCATCTTGAGTTGCACGCGGAATTGGCATTGAACAGAGTACCATTGAAGAATGAGCACTGTTATCAAGTATCAATTCTCTTAATCTTAAGAAAGTTTGAACTTTTCTCTTCTGATTTTCATCTCCTTCTTCAATTCCTCTTTCATTCCACATATTGATTGTGTCATCACCTGGTTTATCATCAATTCCAGGGATAACAATGACTTCGGCGTCAATTCTGAATAATTGAAGGAGTTTGGAGACTCTTACTTGGACATCGCTCAAACCATCGTTTCTTGGAGCAGCGGTGAGTACTCTTAGCTGGCATTTCTCCCATGATTTCTTCTTTTGTATGAGATATCCGAGTAAAAGTACAAGACCGCCATCATCTGATAGCCACCAGACATCTATTGGCCATGTATGTTCAAGGGAGGCATCGACTGACTCGAAATTCCTGGCAAGAGCGACTCCGAGATTTGCATCGAAAGCCGCACCGACGAAATCGAAAGATGCTGGGTTAGAAATGAAGTTTGCATTAATTGTAGTGGCAACAACGTTCGGGCAGAGCTTTCCGAGACCTGTTCCGACAATTAATGGTGGAATCTTCTGGATTTCCAAATCTTCCCATCTTCTGTAGACAATTGTAGCATCGTAGCATGTTTCGTTCTCTAAATCTGGTGTATCTTTAGAAGTGATCGCACATGATGAAATGTAAAGTAAAGATGTGGCTTGTTCGCATGCATCTGCGAAAGGAAGTACGTTTCTGATCTGTCTTTCTTCAGTTCCATCCCTGAAAACAAGGAATTCTACGACAGGACGATAGTTTTTGACGTGAGGTGAAATTTCTTGTAGTTTGGCCACTCTTCTGACTGTATCGGTGAAAAGCATGGCCTGCGGGAACTCACCCCAGTCGGCTGATGGCCTATCTTTCCAATGGAAGTAACCGAAAATAATCAGAACGATTCCGATCGTAACTAACGCGATTACCCAGTTGATTAAGAACATGGCGATGATGCACATGGCAGCACCGAGGATTGCTGTCACTGGATGGTAGTACTTCCATGCAGGACGCCATGATGGAGCGTGAGATAAGCGACCAACAAGGGCTGTGAAGGAAGTTACACCGTAGGAAATGAGGAAGAGGCTGGATACAATGGGACCGACAGCGTTAAGATCCTTGAAAATGAATGTGGTGATTACGATGATAATCCAACCGAGAATGAAGCCACGAATTGGGTCATCTGTTTTAGCCTTGCCTTTGGCGAAGAATTTGAAGAACTTTGGAAGGATGTCATCCCTGCATAAAGCTTGGAATAACTTTGGACCGCCAACCATGGCAGATGATGTAGAGCTGAAAGAAGCAGCAAGAACGCCGATGTAAATGAACCACTTCCATGCGCAGATACGGGAGAGAAGTGAAAAATCTGACCATAATGTCTCGCGATCAGCAGCTGAAGCAACAATTGTAGCTGTAACGAGGTATAATAACGTTGTAAATCCGATAGCTCCCAAAGTTCCGATAGGAATTGACTTCTGTGGCTCTTTGAGGTCACCTGAGATGTTTGCACCGGCCATGATACCTGTGCATGCAGGGAAGAAGACGGCGAAGATTGTCCAGAACGTGTTTCCTTCTTGGAATTTCGGATACAGGTTATTTTTCAGATTTGTTACAATCCATTTTGGTTTTCCTGGGATTGCGAAGCCGATTAAGATCGTAATGATGGAGAGTGCGATGACTACAGCTAAGATGTATTGAAGATATGCTTCGAAAACGAGAGAGATGCAAATTAAAATAACTAAGAAAGTAACTAATGATATACCGATAATAGGAATATCCCATTTTCCGTCTTTTGTGATATCCTTGCCTATTATGTCCTTCACGACTTCAACAAAACCGAAAGTGTTGAGAACTCCGGTGAAAATAGTGGCAATTGAGAAAACAACACCAATTGTGCCACCAAAATCAGGTCCCAATGATCTAGAGATGCAGAAATAAACACCACCACCTTTGACTCGGCCGTTTGTAACAATGGCTGAAAGGGAAAGTGTTGTAAGAGTTGTTGCAAGACCTGAAACAATGATCATGAGGAAGGATAGTAAGAGGCCGCAGTTTCCAACGACCCATCCAAGTCTTAAATAATAAACAACTGATAAAATGTTGAGAACGCAACGGAGGAAAACGCCATCAAATGTACCATAGCTTCCACCCATCTTTTTCTTTTCTTGTTCAACAACTTGCGGCCTTTCTAAGGCATCTGAATTCGATCTAATATCGATGGGACTGGCTCTTTTCATGCCAAAACTACGATAAAAGATAGTAGACGGGAGGTGTTCATATGTGTCAATTGCACTAGGCTGGGCTAAATCCTGCAGTTGGACATTGTTCTCATTATCATATTCAGATATCATTTAAATAAAAATTTGATTGAATTAAAAAAAAGTTTAGAAAGTGAAGTTATATAAAATCTTTTCAAATGAGATAATGATCGATGTACTAGTATTTTTAAACAAAATAAAATAATCAAAGGGATTCAAATTACAGTAGTATATGATGAAGGGTTTAGTGACGTTTTTTGTAACCGTAAGAATTCATGCAATATCGAGCGATTTTGTATCATTTTTTTTAACATATGAAGTAAAAAATGTATGATTCTTACGGTTTTTATTCTTACGTTTTTGAATAAATCAAGATTTAAAAAATTTTCAAAAGTGTAAGACATTTACACTCAGCCCATACATAATGAAATAAATCATTAAAAAATTAACATTAATTTTAAAAGAAGCTATATATAGATGATGTCAGATATTCCGCGATTAATTAAACATTGTTTAAATCCTGAATGGAATCAATGGAGTCATAATCAAAGACCTCATAAACTTCTTACGAAAAATTAAAACTTAGTTATGTTTATTATTTTATTTTTTATTTTGTATGAAATGAGCGTCAAAACTAACAACGTTAAAAAATTAGGATTCACAAACGAGGAAATAAAGGATATATTAGATGAGATGTGTTATGAAGTTAATAAATATTATTTAAGAAATTGTAAAAAATTCGCGGAGTTATTAAATGATTTAGATTATGATGGAAAAATGAATAAAGATGATGTTATAAATTTCTTATATCCCACATCTGAAGAAGAAAAACCTAAAGAACCTGATGTTTTCCCCGAATATTATGAAGAACGAATTAAAGATGATGAATACGATGAAATTGAAAGACTGGAAAAAATAAGAGATGAAATAGATGAAAAAATTAAGGAATTAAGAGAAGTTGAAAAATATAATGAAAATGAAGTAGAGGGTTTAATGAATATCCCAGCTTCAGAATCAGAAGTACAGAAATCTCATGAAGAAAGATATAAAAATTATGTCTCAGAATCAACACAAAATTTATTAGATGGTGAAATAGACGAAACACTTTCAGAAGAAGGTACTAAATTTATTCGTAAACATAAGTTACAATTTATTGATAATGAAGAATACCCCTGTATCCTACTTTCACCCCCTCTCGATTCTGAGAAATTCAAAAAAGCTCTTAAAAACGTGACATATGCAACTAATACGATTAAGAAAGAAGATCATGATATTTACACAAATTATTATTTAAATTGTAATAAACAGAAATTCATCAAAAGTGACAGCTGCCAATTTTTTGACATTTGTAAATTCTAAATTGAATGAGAAAAATGAAATAATACTAAGCATAATACAATATTCTAGATTTAATTATAATTAGGAAAAGTTAGTTTTGAGAGTACTTTTCATAGGCATATAGAATGAAATCTTCTGAAAAATAATATCACATAAACTCATATTATTTTCTAATATATAACTATTTTATATAAAAATCAAATTCAATGATCTTAAAAGCGAAGGATAAACCTCAAAATTTACGAATATAATGAGTGGGAATAGGCGTAAAGCAAAAATTGATATTTCATATGGTTTTATGATAGATAAGCATTATATTCCCACTCATTATATTCGTAAATTTTGAGGTTTATCCTTCGCTTTTAAGATCATTGAATTTGATTTTTATATAAAATAGTTATATATTAGAAAATAATATGAGTTTATGTGATATTATTTTTCAGAAGATTTTGTGTTCTTCTTCAAAATTTTATTTTTTTATTAAAAAGAATCTTTACAAAATATACATTTACTTTAATTAATATTTAAAAACGTGCTCTATCAAAAGTTCCAAAAATTCAATATTTTAGCTTTTCTGAGGTGTCACTTTTGATGAATTTCTGTTTACAACAAAATAAATGCACAGGTGTTGATAAAGTTTTTGATTTATTAGATAAAATATCAAAAGAAACCATTGGAACATATAAAATTTTGTGTGATTGTGGTTTCATTATTGAAGATACCAATAATGTTTCATATGAAAGAACAGCACCGAAGGAAGACGAAGTTGAAAGGTCTATACCATTCGTTATTAAGAACATAAAAGATATGAAAACGTATAAGCATTATATTTATTCATTTATTTCAGAAAAAATGGAAGCAACCCATAAAACATCTTCTCATCATTTTATAGCTATTCATACATTCCTTTTCAAAGTTGTGAAATTAAATAAGACAGGAATTAGATTTAATGTATCAGGGTACGCATTCTTGAGTAAATTAAAATGTATTCGTCACGTCGCAGATGATAAAAATTTATGTGTTCTTAATTCATTTTACGGACTTTAAAAAAATAAACTTTATTTTTATTTATTTTTTAATTTTTTATTCTTACATAAATGAACAAAAACGGAACAGCTAAAATGAATGATAATAGGGTTGTTAGATTCCCGACGATAGGTGTCTTGGAAGATTTGCCTGGTGTCATCATAGTGTCTTTAAATCAAAAATTTTATTTTGGAGTTAGTTTTATTGATTTTTCAATAAAAAACATTTCTAAAACAAGAAAATAAAACGATAAAATATTTATATTTTATATAAGGATCTTATATATTTAAAATAAATATCATTTTATTTTTTTCATTGGTGTCTGTCAAACCATAATACACTATTCAAAAATTCAATGTGTCTTGCGGTTTCAAAAGACACCTTCAAATTGAACGATAGCACAGACACTATTGAATTTTACCCATTTTATTTAGTTTTTACCCTTTTTATTTTTAAGAATTAATGACTGAAACACAAGATGAATATGAATCCAAATTTGAGGGATGGATTGATTGCAAACTTCCTCCCAAAAATATCCCTCGAAAAGTACCTCCCTTACCAAAATTCGAGGATACTGAATTCTCAACTAATAATAAATGTCGAGTATGTTTCAATATTGCTTATCTTCCAGATACAAGCGAAAAATCGAAAGAACGAAAAAGACTTTATTGTTATTGTTTAGCGATACATTACAATTTACTAACAAAAACATATATGCGCTGCATTTATCATCGAAAACCATCAGAATTTGATGACGATCATCAGCATATATATCAAATACAATGTGAAAATAATCCATATACGAGAAGAGATTTAATAAAACAAGATAGAAAATTACTTTATGTTGTAAAATTTGTTGTGGATACCAACATGTCAATCAATATGGCCGCTTCAGGTGTACTAGAAGATTTCGCCCGACATATCTACTCCACCTTCAAGGGAGTAATCAATTTTCAACTCAAGATCCCATATAGAAGAGACGAGATAAGGGATGGAATCATTACATTAGCCGACTTGGTAGCTCCAAAAATACACGTTGAGCTTGACAAGATGGGCTACTATTCGATAACAATTGATGCGGCATCACACGGAAGCCGGCATGGCTTTTTTGTGATGGCTAGCAATCCAGCAAAAATGAAGAACCATATCTTCATTGATACTATGATCGCTGATGGTTGGAATGCCAGGGATTACAATAATTTCTTTGAATGTTTTACCTTCCCAAAGGATTTCCTTTCTGCAATTGTTGCCGATGGATGCCCCGCCCAAGTTAAAGGGCTGTGCCACTGGAGGAGATGCGGAGCACTATATCCGGGTCTTCAAACCGTTTATATCCGATGTGTTGCGCATCTCCTCAACTTAGTGGTGAAGCATACGGCAGACAATTGTGCAGCTTTCGCAATGCAAATTAATTATTGCAAAGCGATAAGCAAGGAGTTATCGAAGCCGGACACGAGAAGGGCATTGAATATGAGGGTTATTCATGTTCCGGATCATCGCTGGATGTTTTTCTGGGATCTTCTGAAGTGGATAAAAGAAAAACACCCTAAAATTTATGAATTGTTCAATATGGATGATCCACCGGAATCTGTTCAGATCTTAAGGGATATGGGAATTGATTTCAAGGATGGACTTCCACAATGGTTGTTAAATTTCGAAGAGATTCTTTTACCAATCAAGAAACTCTTGAATTATGCAGAGAGTGACGTTGGCTGCTTCTGCTACATCTATCCAATGTTTCAATCGACGATTGAGCAGTTGACCGGAATTGCAAATCGTCCTGAATTATCAAGTTCGTCAAAGCGCATTGCAGATGCATTAATCGCCAACATGAATGAAGTTTTTGACAAACAGGGCAACTACGCTTTGATGAAATTTGCCTTTGGTCTAACTCCATGGGGCCGGTCAGTCATCCGCGCAGAATTGAACATGCATACTGAGTACAAGCCAGACGTTTCACTCTTCTTCCAAGAACCAATACCTATCAATGCTGAACTTGAAATCCCTCCAAGGAGCTACACCCCTGATCATTTGGATGAAGTGGCAGAGGATCAATTGGACAGAAATCTAGATATAGAAGAGCCCGAGATTGAGAACGAAGCAATTGAAGGTGATGGCCAAGTAGATGCAGAAGACATTGCTCAGGATGAAGAAGTTGAAGAGAATGAACCAAGGAGGAGACTAGGCAGGAACCTTGGTGAATGGGCGTCTCTGTCAATGCAAGAAGTGGAAGAGTACAGCTTCAACGATTTTATGATCGAGATGCTTTCGAGACGTGCAGAAGCAGAAGCGAGGTTCTACAAGAGAAGTTCGGCCAAGAACATAGCTAATGAGTACAAGAAAGCTCTTTCCAACTTTATACATATGAATGAGAGTGAAATCAGGAACAACACCGACCTCACCTGCTTGGATCAAAGGTTTTGGGTAGCATGTGATGCAAATTTCAAGGCATTGAAAGAGATTGCCTTAAAATTCATGTCTATTGCTGCAACCGAAGCTGATGTGGAAAGAATGATTTCAATTGTGCGGAACCTGCGTAATAAGTTTAATCAAAACGCACGTGAAGATCTAATAAAGTGTAGAATCCTATTGAAGCTTTTCATGACAAATGAAATCCTGAAAAAGATATTTCCAGATCTGACTGATCTTTAACTTGCCGTAGCTCCTTGATGCTGTAGCTCCATGCTGCAGCTTGACCTACTGTAGCCCCTTGATGCTGCTTGATTGTAGATGTTGGCTTTGAATGATGCCGCTTGACCTGCCGTAGTTCCTTGCTGCAGCTTGATTGTAGATGTTGGCCTTGAATGATGCCACTTGACCTGCCGTAGCCCCTTGCTGCCGTAGCTCCTTGCTGCCGTAGCTCCTTGCTGCTGCTTGATCGTAGATGTTGCCCTTGAATGCTGCCGCTTGATTGTAGATGTTGCCCTTGAATGCTGCCGCTTGACCGTAGATGTTGGCTGTGAATGTTATCGCTTCAACCGCTAGCTCCTAACTGCCTCCAAACAGCCGTTTTGCTATGACCTCAATCACTTTTATTTATTATTTTAAATATTATTTAATTTTATTATTTGAATAGGCCAACTTATATTTGAGAAGCTCAATTTGAGACCACTTAATACATTGAAATATCATAAATATTGAAATATTAAAAAGTGTATTTCAAAATATTGAAATTATAAAAATTTATAATACTGAAATTGAGACAAATTAATAAATTCAATGTGTTTTTTTTGAAATAACTCTCAAATATTATTTTTTTTGTTTATTTAATGATGAATAAATATGATTGCTTTAGTCAATCATAAAAACTGATTTAAGTTTAAAATAATGAAAGGATAATTTGATCGTTTTTTAAAATACAATTATTTTTGATGATTTGCAAGAATCTTTGAAAAGAATATAATATAGGTTCTATTTTTGTAAAATTTATCCAAATCATGTATTACATAAATTACGATTAAAACGATGAAAGAACCAAAAAGTGTGTTTTGTGTTTTGTTGTTGCGTGTTGGATGCGGGATCCTGTTATTTCCGAAATCGACAAAAAATTTGGAAATTTAATTTCCGAAATCGAAATTATATTAATGTTTTTAATATTCTTATATCAAAAGGATTAAAGTTCATTAAGAGAAAAACAATTCTTCTTCTTCAATCTATTGGCGCATTTATTTCTACACGCCAATAAGGAAGGGAAAATTATAAGACACCATGGTGTCTTCAAAACGCTAATTTTTGATATTTTTAACAACCCTAAATGATAATCAAATTAGAGCAGAAGGTAGAAGGTTATTTAAACGCTTCTATAACATTCCTGATGGTGTTAATCCTAAAACTCGTAGAAGCTATTTAAATGAAGCAATAGATGCATATGACGGGTTTGACATTTCATCAGAAAGTGAGAGATTAGCGAGAATGTTAAATGTTAATATTGATTTCTATTATTGTGATCCTCAACCAGAAGACGTGGACATAAATAAGGTAGACTTTCCATTAGTGGAATCAATAATGATAGATCCAGAATTTGAAACAGTAAATATTTTATTAACACAGAGTCCATGTGGAAAACTTCACGCTGACAGAATAACAGACGTTGAAGCACTCACCGGCTATAAAGTTTGTCTATATTGTAAAGAAGAAGTTTATTCTATCCGTGATGATCCAGAAAGGAAAAACCAAAGAAGATTTTTAAAGCATTGTGAGAAATGTAAAGAAAATAATGGAAGATTAATTCAAGACGTTCAATTGCAAAAGACCCAGCAACCATATGCACCACATATTACGAAACAGAAGATATATCAGTGGTTATTAGCTCACAATTTGCAGAAATATTATAAACCGACAAGATATTATATTACTTTTGACTTTGAAACATTAGAGACTAAAGAAGAATTACAACTTTCTGAGTGTGCAACTTTGAACGCTTACTTAAAACCATTCATGGTATCATCAACGGTTAAATTAAACGATAAAACATATACGAGGAATTTTTGCTTAACTTCGAGTGATTCTTTTATTTCTGATTGGATTGAGTTTTTATTTTCAACCTGTTCATTAGTTGTTGAATCAAATATGAGTCAATACAATGAATTATTGAAGTCGCAAACGGCGGGGACTTTGTCCCATACATTAAATGAAAAACAGAAGGAAGCATTTAAAGAACTTCTAGATGAGGAATTCAATAAAGTGAATATCATAGGTTTTAATTCGGGAAAGTTTGATTTAAATTTAATTCTTCGTGATTTAAACACTGCAAAATGGAAAATAAAATCAATGCTGGGTTCATCTTCACAATTTAAGCAAATCATTGTAAAGAAAACAAACGCTCCATATGAATTGAGATTTATTGACATCAGAAATTATATAGCGGGTGGGACATTAGACCAATTCACTCAAGATTTCGGAAACAATAAATCACGTGTTAAATCCTTTTTCCCTTATCAATTTATCACATGGGAGAATTCCGAAGAAGAATTATATAAAGAGGAACCATTCACGAAAGATTCATTTTATTCAGCATTAACTCAAGAAACTATATCAGATAGTGATTATCAAATATATCTCAATGATGCTAAAAATTTTAAGAATAGATTAGAATATTTTATTCATTATTGCAATAAAGATGTTGAAATTATGATTGACCCAATCGATAAAATTATTGAAGAAACATTTGTTTATAAAATTGATATGCTTCATAATCTTTCTTTATCATCGAATGCTTCAATGATTCGTTACGCTTTAGCATATAAAGACTTTAATCCTAATGAAAAATATCCTGAGGAAGAGATAGAATCAAGTTTTGAATTAACGAAAAAGTATTGGAAATATAAAATTGAATCATATAAGAAACAAGATGAAAAAGCAGAAAGGGATACTAAAAATAATGTTTCAATGGATGATTTTCAATACTATCACGATTTAATCCTTTCATCTAAATGCAAAATGTGTGGTAAAGCGTTTACATATGCAAATAAACCAACATTGGATAGAATCGATAATGAAAAACCACATACCAAAGAAAATTGTCAGTTAATGTGTTGTTATTGCAATGTCGTAAAATCAAATAAAGATGAAGATGTTCAACGTTTAAGAATCAATTTAAGAAATTACGCATTAAAAAATAATTTACCAATGACTTTAGATTCAGTTGAAGCTTATCACATTCTCCATAATGGAATTACTGGTGGTTTATCAAATGTTCAACATAGAGTAAATCTTAAAGGAATCACGCACATTAATAAACTTTCATATAATCCAGAAACTAAAACTGTATCAAATGAGGACACTTCCAACATCATGACTCATTTCGTTGGTGTTGATTTTAATTCATTATATCCTTCATCATTTTCATCTAATCCTCATGATTTCATTCAATATACTGACCATAAAATGTATATGCCGGGAAGATTGAATGGTGTTATCATTTGTGATACAGCAACAAAGAAAGCAAAAGCACTGGGAATAATTAAGAAGAAAATACTTTATTCGTGGCTGAAGTAAAGGGTCACATTGATGAAAAATACATTAATGATTACATAAACTTTTTACCGATAATAAGAAACTTAGATATTATCACAGATGAAAAAACAATTGGCAGTTTTATGTATAATTACATGAAATCAAACAATCTACCAGTTGACCAGAAACAGAGGAAATTAACTCAGTTAGCATCAACACACAACCAATATCAACCATTTTCTTCTTATTATCTTTGGTATCTAATAGACAGATTTCATTTTATCATTGATGATATTCAATCAATTTTAACATTTACTAAAAAACACTTGTTTTAATGAATTTGCGAACAAATTTATGAACGAAAGACAAAAGGCTGAATTAGAAGGAAATAAAGGAAAAAGTTTATTTTGCAAGATTTCACTTAATGGATCATATGGTTACGATGCAATGAATACACAAAATTACGCAAAGACTAAAATAATGAATGCACAGAAGGCACGCGTTGCATGTATGCCAAATAAGTTTAAAAACATAAGAGAAATAGGTGAAGATACATATCAAGTGATGCTTAAAGATAGATTTTATAGATGTGATACATGTTTACAAGAGGCATTCTTCACTTTAGATAACGCAAAATACTGGTATTTAGTTTTCATTTATGATTTTATGTATAAATGCATGGATGTTAATCGTTTTCATTTCATTGAAGGTGATACTGATTCATCTTATTGGGCAATCGCTGGCGACCCAAATCTTCCTAACACTCAAGCATTTCAAGCAATTGTTACCGATAAACAATTTTATGATAAAAACATTTTCAAATTCGCACCTTTTGATTTCTTCTGTTTTGATGAGAAATTTAAACCTAAATTAAAGAATAAAGCTGAAGAAAAAGCACATGAGAAGAAGTTATTGGGTTTAGCAATTGAGAAACAAGGCGATAACATGGTTGCTTTATGCCCTAAGTGTTATACATCATTCAACGGTTCAATTGATGGAAGTGATTTTAAAAAGATTGCACAAAAAATGAAAGGTGTTAGTTTACGACAAAATAAACAATTAACACCTAAAAATTATTTGGATATAATAAATGATAAAGTTATTTTCGATGGTCAGAATATTAATTTACAACTTAAAAACGGGTCAATGACTCGCTTAACAATCGGTAATACTGCATTAACAGGAGCACACACTAAGGCTGTATGTTGTGAAAATGGATGTTGTATGCCATTTATTTAATACAATTTAAAATTTTATTTTTAATAAAATGCCACAGAAGAGACAAAAGGAACCGTTAATGATGCGATTCAATATGTAAATAATGGTTTTGATACTATGATTCAAAGAGGTGGGCACCCTTAAACATTTATTTTATTTTTATATAAATGGATAACACAGATTTAAAAAATTTAATTTATGATTTAGTACTTAATCAAAATTTTCTTAATTATTATGAATTAAAATCATATCTCCAAAAACATAATAACAATATAACGGGTGATGATATGGATTATTATTATCCATATTATAAAAATGAAATTTTGAAATATCATGATAAAATAATTTCTAAAATTAAAGACAAAATTAAAAATAATGAATATACAAAGGGAAAAACTAAATCACAACTTAAACAATTGAAAGATTTCAAAAATAAAGTATTAACAGAAGAAGATATTGATGAATTATATAAATTATATAATCCTGAGCCGCAAAAACCAAAGGAACAAAAACAAAAGGTGCAAAACGCCCAGGTCCTTCAGACCATAAATGATGCACAGGCTTTAATTTATGATTCATTAGTTAAACTATATTCAGCCCGACTTTTAAATGAAGATCAACTTTTGGAATTCATCCTTCAACATAAACTCGAAGCGGGAAAGTATATCAAACCTTTATATACAGCATATTTAAAACAAATGAATAGAATACATCCAGAATTAATGAAGGGGGAATAAAATCCAAAACTTCATCATCCAAAATCAAAGCAGATAAAATTAAACCACTTGCAACACCAAAACCTCCAACGACAGTACCTCCTCCTCCTTCAGTTAATCCTTCATCATTCACTTTATTATATCCATTTCAAACATTAAAGAAGCAAAAAGATTTTAAAAAGGATTTCAAGATATTAAATAAACCAATTGACCCGAAAATTCAACCGTTAAAGGAAAAATTTAGTCGCCCTTCATTTGCACCATATCCATATTCATACGAAATCGATCATTTAGAATATTCAAAAGGAAACGTTACTTATTTATTTGCCATTAACATTAACACCAGATATTTATATTGCATTCCGGTGAAAGGGAAAACAGAACAGGAAACAAGAAGAGCTATACAATACTTACTAGATCATGAAAGAGTAGATAATATCAGGGGTGATGGTGATAAAGGATTTCAGGCAGCTATGGCTCATTATTTCCCACAAATTAATTTTTTCTTTTCATCCTCTCCATATACGTTTCATAATAAAATAGTTGATGCGGTAATGAGAACTCTTAGAGATGCGTTAGGGGTTAACGGTCAGATATACTGGGATGGAAATCATGACTCCATCATACAGCAGTTAGTATATTATTACAATAATACATGGCATAGAACTATAAACATGAAACCAGTGGAAATGAAAAATGATATTTCAAAAGAATGGGAATATATTAGAAAGCACATGGAAAGGTTGAATGATGTTAAACGTGAACAAATTAATTCGGGGCTCATGAATTTTAAACAAGGGGATAAAGTTTTGATTCATCTCGATTATGGAAAAACTGATAAATCAATGACAAAAAGAAGACGAAGATTTGACACAATAGCTGAATTTGTTAGATATATTAACGGCAATGCATTAGTTGAAGTTGACAATAAATTAATAGAAATTCCGATTTATTTTATTACTCCATTATATTTAAATAATATTTAATTTTTTTATTTCGTAAGAAATGAGTGACAACAAAGCAGCCAAGAGTCCAGACAATGAATATAAAAAGAAACTAAACAAAATTAAATCAAAAATATGCTATTACAAAAAGAAGCTGCAATGCGGTGGGGCTGATGCCCATAAAACTAAAGTAATTGAAAACGATAAAGAGAGGAAAGAAATAATCGAAAAATTAGAAACTTACCGTTCAATCCTTAAACTGAGTGAAGCAAAAATAAAAGAATTTAATAGAATAAATAAATTGATTGGAAGAGATGAATTTAATAAAGATGAATTTTTAAACTCTATCCAAATTTAATTTTTATTCCTCTTCGACAACGTCTCTTCGAGACGCCGAACCCTTCTGGGTTCTTCTTTCCATCATTACTGCATAACCGCATCTTCTCGGTTTTCGTGGTTTGTTGTTTTTAATTTGTTCTTGCATCATTTTTATCATTTCCTCCCTTGTTATGATTCGTGGTAAATTTTGAGCTTGTGGGGTATCCATTTATATAAAAATAAAATTTTGTTATCAGTTATTTTATCGTTAATGGTTTTTAGGTTATTCAATAATTAATTATTTTTGAATAACTGAAGGTGTCACTACGTCACCATGTCACCAGGTTAATTAACTTCTCTTAAAAATGATGACAACATGACATTTTGACAACACAGCAGGATTAATGCAAAAATAAATTCCAATCATACTTTATAAAGCTTCATTTACAGGTATTTCATCATCAGTAAATGAATCCTCATTATCGTTTGGTTCAACCTGTTTATATAATCCTTTCATTTCTTCTTTCAAAACATAACACCTTGTTTGTTTACCATCTATTCTTCTCTGTTTCCTATCACATTTATCCTTAATGCTCATTTGAAAGTTTTTGTCTTTCATGTCTGATGGTTTGCAGAATAGAGCATTTTTACACGTCATACCTGCACACAATTCATCATAATGTGTATTTATCCATACATCTAAAGGATTTGTTGATAATTCTATTAAATCTTGTTTGGCTTCAGTCATCGGTATGATTCGTACATTAAATGATGAAAGGTCATATTGCATAAAATATGTTAAAAGGTTATCATAAAATTCCTTAGTGCATGAATTCATCAAATTCTTGAAATAATCAAATTGACCCTTGAATTTACCATTAACTCTTAAAACTACGTATCTTCTGTCTCCAACTTCAATTTTGACAGGGTAAACGTTATTAGTTACCAAAATGAAATTGGCAACATTCTGAGCAGTTCTTCTGGGTTGATTCTTTTCATTAATTCTTATCTCATTATCCGTAATAATTGATTTCAAAGCGTTGAAGTTTGCGAGTCTGTCTTCACCTACATTCTTGAGTTCATTAAGTACAAGAAACAATTTATTCTCAACTACTGAATTGAAATTACCCGTTAGCTCACTTATTTCAGTAATGTTTTTACATGAATAACCGGCGAGAAGTTCAGAAATAATGTCTGTAAATCTGTTTTTACCTGTTCCCTGAAGTCCTTTCAAAATAATTGCTGTTTCATTCTTGATTCAAGGATGTTGAATCATTGATGCAATCCAGCCGAGAGGGTATTTATACACTTCATCGTTATTATCACAAATGGCTTCTTTAATGAAATCCATAAACATCTCAATTTTTGAGTAATCAGGCTTTTCGAGAATGTTGTATTTATAACCTTGAAACGTTGAGAAAACATCTGGAGAATTAGATTTAAAGCAAACACCCTTAACGGTTAATGAAGACAATTGATTTAGTAGTACATCCCATGCTGTTATTGTTTTACCTTCTTCTTTAAATAATTTAATCATTTTGAGTGACTCTTTCATGTTTGATTGAAGAACGAATGATATTTGATTCATTTTGTCGTGGATATTATAGTCCTTTTGAATGAAGTATTTATTTCCACAATCTACAAAACGGATTACACGTGATAAATCCTCAATTACTTCAGAACTGTTTTTATACTGATGATTTTCAGCCTTGCGTCTAATATCTGTTATCAAAAACGAGTCATCAAGTTTTATATCAAATGTTATTTTTGGCTTACGTAATAAAGGTAAAACGTATTCATCATAATATTCTTTTTGGTATAGTTTTAGAATCTTCACCAAAACAAATGGAGAAGTCATTAAATGTGCATATCTACTACGTGCTTTTTCAAAATTACTTTTTGCATTTTCAGTTAAATTGCAGAAGTTATAAACGTTATCGTATGCTTCATTAATTAAATGATTAGGTAACGAATTAATTGCTTGAAACAGTGTGAATAATGTAACTTCTTTTTCTAAATTCATGTTTCCACCGTCATTATGTACTTCAAAATCACAGATGCCATCAACTATGCTCTGGGCAAGTTTATCGTCAATGTTTACATCTTTGTTTTCATTCATGATAGTCTTTGTTTCTTCGTTATTCTGTTCAACTCTTACCTTAATATTCAAATCATTTAATATATCATTCACTGTTCTAGTTAATGTTGAATCGTAACTTCCACGAATGAATGAGTATGTATTGATTGGTTCTGTTGCATTCTTGCGAACTCTTGAATCAGCCATAACTACTAAAGAACGCTTTGAATCATCCATAGAAGTCATGATATCAATATCATAATCATTGCAGGAATAGCATTTAATCATTCTGTTCGAAACTGCATAGAAGAAATTAGTGTTGCAATAAATGTGAAGACCTCCTGAAGCGGTTTTAACGATAACATCTTTATCCGAAAGTTTTGATAAAATATCTTTTCTAGCTGTTTCTTTAAGTTCATCATTGTACGATTTATTGATATCAACATCTATAATCGTTAAATTTGATATTTTATTTACTAATAAAGCCATACCAGTTTTCCTTCCTCTTCCTCCATCATGTTTGAGGTAGTTATGTAAATCAATCTTGTTTTCACCAATTCTTTCGTTGAGGGTTTTAGTTTCTGCCACAACTAATTCCTCAGCTAATGAATCAATAACTTTTTCATCAGAAACGATATAGTTGCTGTTGTTGTTTGTTGCTGTCATTTATATAGGAATAAAAAAATAAAAATAATTTTAAAACTAACTTTATTTTTGGACTGCATCAAATTTCCGGGAATGTTGTCAAAATGTCATGTTGTCAGTAATTTTAAGAGAAGTTAATTAACCTGGTGACATGGTGACGTGGTGACACTGAAAACATTCATGAAAACATTTACGAAACATTAACGTAAACATTAACGATAAAATATATTTCCGGGAATGTTGTCAAAATGTCATGTTGTCAGTAATTTTAAGAGAAGTTAATTAACCTCGTGATATGGTGACGTAGTGACACCTTCAGTTATTCAAAAATAATTAATTATTGAATAACCTAAAAACCATTAACGATAAAATATATTTCCGGGAATGTTGTCAAAATGTCATGTTGTCAGTAATTTTAAGAGAAGTTAATTAACCTGGTGACATGGTGACGTGGTGACACCTTCAGTTATTCAAAAATAATTAATTATTGAATAACCTAAAAACCATTAACGATAAAATTTATTTCTGCAGTTCATCCGCTACTTCATTACCTAATTAATTACAGACATAAAATATATTTAGTTCATCCGGTACCATGCAAATACAGTCACAAATGGTGGCATGTAATCTTTACCCAAGCCTGTTGGATTTGTTGTGAAAGTATGGACATGATTTCCTCCTGGTTCAGTTTGTCGAAAAGTCTTTTTTGTTGAATCGTTATAAGCTGGAGATAAAACATCATAACCAGCTTCATAGCCTGAGTTATATAATGGGTGGTCTCTTAATGAGTGTCTATGGTCGCCAGAAAAGTTTGTCGTTCCTGTATGAGTGTGCGGTGGAAGGTTTGCTTCTTTAATTTTCTTTGAGCCTCCTGTTTGCTTTGAATATTTAGCACAGTATAAGAATTTGTCTACAATCTGCTTCCATTCACCAAAACCTAAAACACTTGCTGGATTTGTTGAGTTCATTGATGTATAAATAGAGCCTATAGGATATAATGTTTGAAGTATTTCATTTTTCATGCTTGTAATCACATC